AGAGATTGTACGCTACACCGTCCTCCCGACGTGCTTTACTGAATTATTTATTAGGCATTCCGAGTAGTGGAGTCTGTTTATTTATTCAATTCTCTTAAATCCAACCACCAGGGATACATGCCATTCCCATATTTACTACACTACCTCCCGACCGCCATCAGCATCATTACCAGGAGCCGAGAATGGTTCTTTTTAGCAATAGTGCTGACTGACGATGAGCGCATTAATTGGCTCCCTTATGGCAGTGTCAATGGGGTCCTGATGTATGCGGCTGGGTTGGCTCACTCACTCAGTGAATGTGGCAATAAAGGGGATGAGAGGTGCAATTGACCCCTTGCTGGTGAATTGGTGGACAGTGGTCAACCGAGCGAATAAGTGCTCAGCTTCCATTAATTGGATTATTGGATCGGGAATGGGCTGACCGTTCAGGTGGCTGAATGAATTAGCAGGAGAGATGAAGAGATTAAGCAGGAGAGTAACATCTCTGATTTTAATTAGTAACTGCACCAGGAATTGGTGATTGGCCATAAATCAGAAGTAACTGCCCCTGAGATGGATACTGTGGACGGCCACCACGGGAATCAAATTACGGGAGGCAGATTTATCTAAAACATTTTATGTACTTTTGGTCTCCTCCCTCAATGATGAACGACCCATTGGCGATTTTCTAATCTCCACACACACCACCACACAGTCCACCACGACGACGAGGCTGCGACGACCACCACTCCACCACCAACAAGGCAATGAAAGAAACCCCATTTCGCATTGTGTATCTCTTCATCTGTACAATTGCGACCAGGCAGAACAGAACAGCCACCAGTAATGCAATGCAAATGCTGACGGCTTTCTTCTCCCCAATTTATCATTTTTGGGATGAGCACAGAAAGAAAGGTTGCCTCCTTAGTTAATAAACTGGAAAAGAAGTAGGAGACGACGACGACCAAGTTGCTGGTTATCCCGTGAGCTGCTTTAAATGTGGCCTTCGTAGAGGATGCGTATCTCGCTCTTTCTCTCTCTCCTGTCTTTGTCCTTCTGCGACCTGTCACTTTTTAGGAGCCTGTTCGCCAATGGAGTTGGGTGGGTTGATTAAACTGGTTGGTGGTGATGGTGGTGTATGAGAGCATAGGACCAGGAGCGAGGAGCGAGAGGAGAGGATAAGTGGATATCGATGGTTGAGAGATGTCATGGAGGAGAGGGGCAAAAAGTGCGATCTATCAACAGAGCAGTGGATGACTTAACTTAATATCCGAGAGCTCATGTGGATACTTTGGTGGCTAACAACCTCCAATCCATTCCGCTGAATGGGGAGACAAATTATTGTGCAATGCATCTCATCGTCCTCCTCCATGTCGTCCCTCCTTGTCCTTGATTTCTCATTTTCCTACCAGATTTATGTCCCAGAGTCGGCCCTCTTTTCCTCTCTCGTCTCTTTCTCTCATTTGCCTCGCTTTCTCTCTCCAGCTCTTCGAACCTGTGAAATTCCGCTGCTGACATGTTTTGACTCCTCAACCATTTCGTACATTTAGGCAGCTTTGCTCGTTGTGTACGCACGGACATACATAAAAGTCTCGCTACTTTTACTTTTAGCTATTTTCAATAGCTTAAACATCCTCATTCTCGGCGACCGGACTCTGAAAGACGAGAACAAAGGGAACAATTTAATCTGAAGAGAGAGAGAGCAAGACGCAAGAGTGATGGACCGAGAGTTGCGAGATAAAGAGTCCGACCAATGAGTATCCATCTGCAGATACATGGAGATAGATACATGGTAGTAGTGGTGGTAGTGGTGGTGGTGGTGATAGTAAGTTGTAAGTAGTACATGTGAGACTGCAGCCCTTTTTTATGAACACTTTTTTACTGGTAAACTGTCATATGAATGCTTTTATGTATTTCCTCCGAGGCAGACTTGGTCCGGACTCAGTCATTCATGAGAAATGTCAATTTGAAATCGCCATAAAAGAAAGTTTAGGAGGAAGTGAGTAGTCGTTGTTCTCCGAGGCTTCATCCTCGCTCCTACTTATTCTCCCACTTACGGACTTGCTTCCTTGCTTACACGACGACGAGGATCCACTCAACAATCAGGAACAAACAAGGACGTTAATCCCTTTCTCCAACTTTCTCCATCCATCCATCCCTCCTCCTCCGCCCAAAAATCGCTCCCTTTCCCTCTCTCTCTCTCTCCCACGCATCACGATCCAGCTCCGCCATCATGACGCATACAAAGTGTTCTTTCGTATGGGGAATGTGGGACACCCAAAATCAGACACAACTTTTGGCCCATATTCGACACAATCATGCAACCTCTACCAGCATCCGTCGCCAAATACCGAGACCATGAAAAAATGAGAAACTCTAGCCAAAAATGCATGCAGTGCGGTGCAACAGGGGCCAAGGAGGCATGTGTTTGCAGTATTAGACAAGAAGAACAAGTAAAAGAAGAAGAAGTGGCAGTGCTCTCCCCTATTCTCTGACCTATCCCATCATCCCACTTGGCCAACAAACGCACCTTTTCTCACTTTCTCAAAAATTCCCCATTTTTGTTTCCACAAAAAAAATTTATAAAAGGCCCGCAAATTTTTATAATTTTAATGATATTCCTTAATCGAAAAACAAGATCTTGATTTAATGAGAGTCGGTAAGGTACCATAATGATCCCGTCGAGCTGGGTTCCCTGGTCAATTCATCTTCGTCGGTGTGGTGCCCACCGGACCAGTGATGGAATACAAGGCGGTGGAGGTTATTCTCACAGACTTGGTTACCCACCCGTCAAACATCATTCATAAAGTGGAAAGTCAATTAGGATCAATTAGCGCCGTAGGTCATTTTATCGGGAAAATCACCATCCGTCATTCAGCATATCATCGCGGGCCGATCGCTTCCCTGTGGCGACGTCTTCTTAGGATTAGAACTGCATCCATATATCCATCCCATATTGGTTGTGATTTATCGCCTTGTTTCACCAGCCTACCTCCCTCTCGACTCTGTTACACAATACCAAAACTGATGGTTATTTATGAAAAGTGGAATTCTCTGCATGCCCCGAGTTATGAAATATAAGCCTAAAATTGTCTTTATATCATTATTCGCACAACGTTTTCCTCTTATGTAAGTAGACAGATGTGTTCCCTGCGATAATAATGCGATCTACTCACCCACTCATCTTTTTGTCGCTATTGTTGCGAGCTACTCTGTGGCTGAGCTGACTATTTACTCTGTGCACTCACCGTTGCATATTTGTCGGTGAGAAAGTGCAGTCTCATTCAGATTCATTCCTGCACAACCCCGATGGAAAGAAGGAGGTTCATTAAAGAGGCTCCAAGAGAGAGAGAGAGAGAGATACATAGAAAAGTCATCTCGTGTCTACGGGGTGAAAGGTGTGGTGGTTGGTTGCGCAGAGGGAAAGTCGTGGGTAGGAAGAAGGGAGAAAGAGTGGTGGTGGTGGAAGCTGGATAAAAGTCGGCGACACTGCGATCTCCGTCTGATTTCCTCTCTCAGCAGCACAAGCGAGAAGAACAAGAGGGAAGAAGACCCAGAAGAAGTTGTTGGTTTGGTTGGGCAAACAACCCTCATCTTTCTTTAACTCTGCTCACACATTCGCATCCCCAACTCCTGCGAAGCCACGAAACCAAAGCGAGCGTGTTTTATTCACTCGCTCGATCTCACTTTTCCGTTACCCGAGAAAGGAACAAGACCACTTCTCAAGTTGTTTACTAGTGTTTCTTGCCGTTACTCGTGTCCTCCTTGTCGTGGGGTCTGGTCTGTTGTTGTTGTTCTTCTTCTTGGTTAAACTGTGGCTGATAGGCCTCCCCAGGGACGCATTCGTTTCACTAAAACTTTGTGTGTCCCGGTGTAATTGTGGAAATCACCCCGTTCCTCTTCCCGTGGTCCCCTCCACCGCCACCTCCACCCCCAGCCGTCAACATTCACGAGCAAAAGAACTTTGAGACGCTGGTGGCTCGGCGTGCCGCCGTGGGGCCAGGCGGGTGCAACCACGTCGGCTACCACTCGCCCCACCATCGACAATTACACCACCACGCGCTCAACATGGTGAGTTTGTCGTCGTCATTGTTGTCCTCGTCGCCGCTGTTACCGTTATGCACGCACTAAGCTTTCCACCGCTGCACGTGGATCTCGTCCAATTTCCCAAACAAAGCGGATCGCCACGTTTTCTTGCAGCGGTGGTTGCTGCCAAACCTTTTTTGTTCGTTTGGCTGCCAACATAACAATAGAATAGGAACAGTTGTACTGTATGTATGGTTAAGTGCAAGTCAGTAGCAGCTTGCTTTGCCGTGGTGGTTCTTCTTTTTCTTGTGATCCTGACCTGGGTCCAGTCGGCGGTCCAGTCGGCAGCCACTGTTCGATCCTTTTTTTAAACATGAAGACGCACCTGCACCACAAAAATCTCAACTTTTGACATTTCACTCCCATTTTCTCTCCGTCTTCTTAGAATGGTGTGACTTTCCGGGGTCACGCCATCGTCGTCGTGAGTTGTACAAGTAGCAGTAGGGCGAACGACGAATATTACTTACCATGCAGTTCCTCCACCACCAACCAAACCAGCTCTCTCAGCTCGAGAAACATGACTATAAATAAATGCTCACACGAGTATAAAAAAAAACTCACCACATCGAGACCGACACTGACCGAATCTCGGTTTCTCTCTCAATACCACAAAGAATTAAAGAGAGAGAGACTTGTTCCTCATAAAATGGTGGATGAATGAGCCACTTGCGAAAAGACGACAATAAAAAATGTTGAGCGAAATGCAAATCAGGGAACAAAAAATATTCCCTCCACATTCACTAATTAAATATCTTTATTTACTAAATTTAAATTCTGAATTTTTGCAACCAAGTCTTTAAACACTTTTTTTTTTAACTTTGTTTACAATGGCACTATAAAAACCGTCATCATCGCCTCTTCCCTTTGCACATACATGCTCGACTCATTCCTCACTTGAAATTGTCTAATATTTGAACTTTTTCTTTAAATTTCAGGATGAATTCCATCCATTTATCGAAGCGCTGTTACCATTCGTGAAATCATTCTCATACACCTGGTTCAATCTCCAAGCTGCCAAACGGAAATATTTCAAGAAACATGAAAAGAGAATGTCCCTCGACGAAGAGCGGAGATGCAAGGAAGAGCTCCTGGTGAGTCTTGGCCTCCTTCACTTTTGCAATCATAAAATCTGCACATTTTTGTAAATAATTTTTACAACCACAAGAACAATGAGCACGAAGGAGAGAGAGATAATAATGAGAGAATCAGAGAAAAAGTATTGTTTTATCAAGTTGCCCCATTATTGATTAAAGAATTGGGGTTGAGCAGATCGACTGTCTCACAACCCTTCTGGCTACCTGTCTCATAAACAATGTTTCCCCACATCTCTAATTGATCGGAGAATGGAACTCATGTCAATCATCAATTAAAATCGCCGCATTCCCAATTTTCCTCCAATTTTATGACCACTGTCTCAACAATCTTGACGGCATTTGGCCCTCTCTCTCTCTCTCTGTAAACATGGTTAATAAGACGAACAACTAATAAGTGAGCACCACTCTCTCACCCAGGTCTTAAAATCAGACAGATTTGCTGTGAAGAGATTTCCTCATAAATTTAATTCTCCCTCATGCCACCCTCCTCACTTATTTCATTTCATTCAGATGATCATCATGGTGATGGTGACTCTGTTTTGGCTCTCACGGTTGTACAGATTCCTGTCCGATAATAATTTGCCTCACAACAAGACTCGAAATGTAAACTGTGCAAATTAGATTGTTGATCGTCATGTTGATCAAAAACTTTTTTCCTTCTATGAGTCGGACAGATATCATCAGAGAGAGAGAGACTCTACTGCTAAATGATGTGAGATCAGTCCATTAGCTATTTAATTGCCAGAGTCAGTCCACGTCACAAGTGGTCAATCAGGTTCAATGCTTTGGACTTAAAATGGATTATTCCCTTTTACTTAATCTCGCTCCTTCTCCGTATTGATGGAGGAATTGAATTCGTCAGCGTCCCACAACATGCAGGGTCGAATATGTCCATCCTTTTTGATCTGGTTTATTTCATCCGCTTACGAAACGCAGAAAAATAACCTGTAATTTCTCGACGGCAATAAGTGCGATAGGTTTCATGAAAAACTGCATCCTCACCTTGCATGTCAGTGGATATCTTAAAAAAACTGAAGAATTTAAAATAAAATTTTTCTTTTCCGATCATATTTTTTCTTCAGGGTAAAAAATTTTGGTTTAAAATTATGCATAAAATCGAAACAAGTCCTTCGTCCTGGTCCCTCTGTGTTTTTTGTGGTTTCGGTGGGTTGGCCCGGGATGAAGAATGTGATGCGACTCAAGTCGTCCTCAAGTTGACGCTGTGCAGTCAGATCCACACATTTTGACAAGGAAGTGACAGAGCCAGACAAGTCAACATCCAATGTCATGTCAGAAAGTGGACACATTACTGGAAAAGACTGCTGCTGCGTCCTGGTCAAGTGTCAAAACTGTCATGAGGATAAAGCCGACGACGACTTGAGACTTGTTTTCAGCAGGAGAATAATAAGCAATCTCTCTCCTCACCCCCATTTTATTTCGGCTGGACGGATGACTACCTATTGTAGCTGGATGTGTGGTGACATCCGAGAGATTTTTGGGGCAATGAGAGAAACTGGGGCTCAAGTTCAGTGACATTAAACGTCGGCCAAAACATGACATAATAATCGTAATCTAAAAAAGACCAGACTTTTCGACGAGACTGGCTTCTATTTTCGCAAAAGAACAAATAATTTAATGGGCAATAATGTGCATTGTCTTCCAGCCCAATAAAAGTAGTTCTCAACTGATTGCAGACATAGACATTCGTGGTGATTCATTGATTGAGCTGATTTCTGACACCAGATACACAATATACGACACACACACACTCGTAAAACGGTCTCACTCTGACGAGCACTGAGGAGTATTTAGTATTTATTAGTTAGCAGTGGCAGTGACATGATTATTGACTCGACTCCCTAATAAACTAGAGCAATTCCACGAGTAATTAAATCCCATCATAATCCGATACCTGATGGCTTTCCGACTAAAAAACATAACCTTAACAACATCACGTTATTATTATTGTTATTATTATTAAATCTTATCACCTGCTTGCTACCGTCAATTTCTTTCCCAAAACGACGCAAGTCTTGTTAGTCGTGTGATGAAATGATGATGATAATGACGGGAAATAAGGAAGGGGCAACTTGCACAAGTAGAATCAAGTTCCGCATGCATGACATCAGTTCAAGTTTGTATGGTTATTTGGTTATCGTTCTCTTTGTGTATGGCTCTGCAGGCATGTGTGTACGTACGTATGAATTGAGGAGAGGAATCAGCATTTGAGGAGGAAACATATCAGTTCCGCTGGGCTGAGCTCTAAATATTATTTTGATGTTGTTGTTGGTTTTTGGATTATTATTGTATTTTTCTTATAAAAAGGGAAGGATGGTTAAGACATTTGAGAGAGCATCATCATCTGCGGTGTGGAGTTGTCAAAGGAATTGTTGTGTGAATGAAGGATGGCTTCGGAGAGCATTTAGGAGTAAGACATTGAGAAACATTAAAGAGCAGTAATGTATTATTCGATCACCATAACGGGTAGGAAACGGAGTAGAAGAAAGTTATGCCGTTCAAGTGTGTGTGTATTTACTACATGTCGTCGTTCTGCTCACGGAACGAATTACATATTGCTCTCAACTACATACATTTAGATCGTTGCGTATGTGGCGTAATACTTTTTTTGCCCGTTTTTGGTCTCGTGCTCGTATCTTCATCATCATCATCATCTCCTCTTGTTTGTGGTGCGGGGAAAGGTGTGTGGGTATTAAATGGGTGTGGTTTTCTGCTGGTGTGTGTCCATCCTATGTGCATGGCAGTGGTGGTGGAGGAGCTGCTTGTTGGTGAGAATGTGTTTATGTGTGTATGTGTTATTATTAGTAATCCTTGTGCACATTATTATTGCTCTCAACCCGTCCTTGGTGCTGGTGGTGCTATTTATCGCTCACGGTTTGCGGTTGATCTTGATGGCAATAATAAAGCCATTAGAGGAGCACCAGCAAGCAACAATGCCTATGCACACGAGTGAACTTGATCGACTTTAGGATTTAATGGATTCCTTTTATTCTGTGGCTGAGCTTCAAACCCCATTAAATGACTCCCATGCACCCACCCACCCACTCACTTTAAAGAAAACTAAACTTGCAAAACGGGGTGTACTTGTCCTCGTCGTTGAATGTATGTAATGGGGCTCTGTTCATACAGTTTGTTCAACGGGGGATCGTCGGGCAATTCAGACGACTTGAAATCCACATTTGCACCCCATCCACGGCCCGCTCTGATTGCAGCAGCAGTTCTTGATTTCCGACTCAGTTATTGAGATGGGTTACGGAAGTGGTGTCCAGAATTAGCTGCATATCACTTTCTCAATGGCAATTTCGTAGAGGAAGAAAATTCCCCCCTCGATCTCGCTCTCTCTGTCTCTTCGTACTTGCACTCCACGCGACGCATCTCTTAAAAAATTGTCCCTTTATTCTCATTCCCTCTCTTCCTCTCTCTCCTCATAGGAGAATCAGAGTGACGGATCAAAAGCCAATGAATTTGGATAGTTGATTGTTTTTCATTTTGGGAAATGTGTTGTTATTTTGGTTGTGATGTGGTTGTAGTGGATGGAGATTTGTTCAAGCTGCTGGTCCATTTCAGCCAGAGGAGAGACTTTCTTTTACATCGCTGGTTGGGTGGGTAGACCGACCCCTCACTCACTCACTTATTGTTACTGGACTGAATATCCATCCACACAAAATACAATAAAAAGAGAAAGCAAGCGACTGTTCTCCCGGTTTCGCTGTATTTATGAGCTGTGCTTGGAGAAGATGATTCCGGTCCGTTGATGGTGGTTTGGTTGGTCGTGGGACAAGAAGCATGCAGGGAGGACGTAGTGTTAATATGGTGTTGGGGATGGGTCAGGGGGCTGAATTTAGGATGCCTCTCTCCGATGACCTCGTCGTGTGGTGGGACGACACATAATAGTAGATCCAAACCTTCCAACTGAGCAATCTTGGAGCTGCTGAATGCGACGAGACGACCCTCGATCCCACAGGCCGGAAAGCACCAAATGCTATCTGGGATCTTGTCACGAGGATTTATATACATTTGACTCTTGCCTATTTCTCAAATTCTCAATGTCTGAATCTACGGATGCAATCTAAAGATCCGACTTCATTTGCACACAGCAAACACACACGAGCATCGGAATGAATAGCGCATTATGCAGCCCCAATTTCTGAACAACCACCACATTACGGGTCTTGTTGTTTCTTTTCTCTCCGAGTATGCACCAACTTCATGGCTCTTTCCATCTCCCTCCAGCCAAACACACACACACACACAAAACGAGGAACATGCATTATGCGAGGAGTAGTAAGTCGTCGTACAGACAGCGATACATTCTCATATCACTACCACACAAGTCGGATATGCGGCTTATTGCTTCTCATGGAATGAAGGGCTTACAACATAAATTAGAGGAAAGATCACACACGCTGTTTCAAAAATGAAGCTGAATGAAGCTCCGTCGTCCCTTTAAAACTGAAATATTAGCAAAAACTGAAAAATAAATCAAATCTGTGTTGTTCCACTTCCATTCCACCCCGTTGCTGCGGATTCATACACAAAATATTTACAAAGTATACACAACTTCTGTTCTTTGGGCCGTTTGGAATATGTGCGGAGATGAAGCGCAATTGTTCCTCTCTTTTTTCTCGGTCTCTCGCTCTCACTCTCTCCGTGAAGAGAGAGAGAGAGAGAGAGAAAAGAAGGAAAGTCTTGCCAAAAAGATTCGGGGTCCATCTCGCTGGGGAATCGTCTTGGCCAGTTTGATTAGTATTGTTTCATTCAGTGACAGTTTGATGGGCTCATGAACGTTGGATGGCTGATGAGTGGCAGGCGAAGAATGTGCACACACGGAGTGACTCCAAATTAAAGATTTTCCTACTTTTCACCACATCATCCCACCCGTCCAACAATGGGTGTCCATCCATCCAGCCATCCATCCACTCAGGTTATGTGCCATTCACCTAGTGAAAGCATTTCCCATAACCATGCAGAATTGTCTCTCATTCCTTCTCATGGAGAATGGGAGCAGTTCTGAGAGAGGCGAGCAATTTCGCTCATGAGTAATTGAGTCAAAAAGTCATTGCATATTCTGGGGGTGTGGGCAGCAGCTCTTTCCTTCCTCTGGTGATTGTGGTGGGTGGGTGATTATGGATATGAGATGGCAGCAGGTCACCCCATACGATACCGTCATCTCGCTATACTTTTACTTCCCCTCTCCACTCAATAAGCCCTCACCAACCACCACTGCCGCTGATACGGCCACGACCGCTGATACTGCTGCTACGGCTGCTGTGAGGGAACGAGTGTTTATTGGGATTTGAAAAGAGCGTTTACGAGGACAATGGCTGGAGAAAATCACCGCGCCGTGGTTGCTGATGGTCTCGTTTGTGAGCAGATTGCGCACTTGGTTTGGTGGACAATGAGCAGAAAAAGAGGACGACGATGAACGAGGACCCGAGAGAGTGCTAATGTAGCTGAGTAACGAATTTGTAGTAGAGTTCGTAAATCACTCTGACCACCACACCGAAGCTCCAGCACGGCCACCTTAATCAGCACCAATTGCTGGAGAATCGAGCCATTGACACGCCTATCTCTGACCGAAAGCCCTTCGTCCATTTCCACCTTGTCCCCAATGACGACTCTGCGGCGGTCGTGGTGGCTGGACAGCAAAAGCAATTCCAATCTTGCCCAATAATCCTCTCCGCCTTTTGCCCTATGCCGATTCGAATTTACATAGCACGCTCATCCATCTCAACTCTTGATTGCTTTCCTCTTTTTTATACTGGAGTCTGCAGACTGAGAGGCAAAGATTGGGTGGACATTCTACCAGCAAACGTCTACCACAAGAACAAGTATTTGGTTCAATATATACCAAAATCAGCTGAATTTTTGGCAGATTCTGCCATTTTATGACGGCTGAGTAAATATATTGTGGGTCAGAAGGGAGGAAATCAAATATTGGTGTTGTAAGTACTCGATGGAGACAAGAGTTTGGTGGAGGGTTCGGATGGGATGAAGTGGGTGCGTTGTTCGATGTTGATCAGCCACCACTCAAGTTTTGGTGGTGTGGGAAAGTCGTGTCTCTCCTTCTTTCTTCTCCTCCGAGAGGAAGAGATGTTGGAGGAAATTAGGGGAAAGTGTAGCAAAATGTCTTGGAAACATTTTCCGGTATTAGAGATCAATTTCGCTGTGATGGTTTGGGGCTCTTGGGGATGTAATCCTTTAAAATGGGGCTGATGAAGTATGGTCGTGGCAGTAATGTGACACAGTTTGTTCATTTATGCCGTAGCTACTCGCTCTCCTGTTTCTCTTGCATCACGTCAGACAACCACGTCCCCCTGTTTCTTGTGGGGTAATGATACATATCGTCGTTGAAGACGCACAAGGGCCGACCCGAGCATCTCTCCCATCTTACCGTCCACATCGAAGGTATAGGAACTGAAACGGCCAGCAAATCCGGTTGGCCCTTGTGCATCTTCCACGGCGATATGGCGTATATATCATCACCACCATGTGCTTTGAACCCTTGACTGGTGCTCGACTACTGCTGGGACTTAGCGCGAGGTTGACAAAGTCATCACTTGTGGGAGCCCCACTTCTTTTAGTGATTGCGAGGCGAGTGCGACGGGAGAAAGCGAGCGAAGGGAAAAGCAAGTATGAGGAGAGTGAGAGAGCAAGCGAGAGAGCAAGAGGACGACACAATGGGAGTTGCTCTGCACTGATTTTCCCTGGAAATTGAGATAAACGGCTGATTTTGAGGAGGCAGATTTATCTCTACACTGGGCTTCTTGTGAAAACTTGGGCTGTGTCCTCCTCCTCTTTTCGCGGAATTGAAAGTAGTGTAACCATCCGATTTTTATTGTCCCTTCCTCTTCTCACAAAAATACATTCCTTTCCATTTAATGGGCACAAACGGTACCAGGGTTGAGCGGCGGCTGTACTACTTGCCACACAGCGTTGGGCCCTGCCTGCCATCCCGTCGCCACTTCCGCTGCTTCGTGACTCCCCAAATTTTGAATTGAATTCCAGACTTCCTCTCTTGTTTCTATTTACACTTTATGCATCTCCAAATATACGAGATGGAGCAATAAAAGAAATTGCATCCCTACTTCTAACTCCTCGCTCTCTCTCAAACTCTTTGCTTCCGACTAATGCGATGACTTCCAGCAGCAGTAGTTTGTTCTGGGTGACCTTTCTTCATCATCGGATCGGCTGACTGGGTGGGATCAGTAGTTTAGTTTGGAGGAATTTGCAAAGCGTTGCCTAATGAAGTGGATTTAGGCTGGAATCGGATGTAAACCAAAGATCTGAGGCGGAGATGAGAGGAGGGCAAAACTTTCTCCAAGAAGAAGAAGAAGTCGTAGATAGTGGAGGAGATGATGATGATGGCGATGGTGGTGGTGGTGCATGGTGGATGAGTTATTAATTGAGAAGCAGGAGACTACTACTCCCTGGTGGTTGTGGTGATCGTGGTCGTCTATGCTATACATACGGGTTAGTTTTTGGGGTAATTGTGAGAATATTGTAAAAAATTGCCTGTCAGGAACAGCATTAGCAGGCGTGACGCCCATCTCCCTCCATGAATTCCTCCATGAATCCTTTATCGAGTCCCCAACTCTCTCGCCGACGACTTGTTCTCCTTTCGTATGTATGATGCGATCTCAACCTCCATCCAGAGTTCAGGTTCATTTGAGGCTTCATACTTGTGGACATGGCGCCTCGATTTTATCACACCGACCAAACTCCAAGCTCACCTTTTTATATACATTTTCTTTATTTTTCTTAACCAGCTTTTTCGCAACGTGGAAATTCATTCATTAGTTCCACATGCGAGTTCTTACCCTCGTAGAAGTAGTAATAATAATAATGGTAATAATCATAATCATATGAGGTGATTTTTCCGACATAAATCGCTGATGTGTGTAGAAGATTCGAGGATTTGGCTAATTGACCAATCCACAGATGATGATGGATAAAGAGGCGTGAATGATGTGCTAATATGTGAAGAGGCCACAAGGGCACTTTGTGGATAATGGCGGCCATAATGGGACCCTCTTGCCCCTCCTTTTCCCTTCATAATGTCCCCATTGAGGACAGAGAACGTAATTAAAATACGATTTGAAGGATTTACTGCGAACCATAAAGGGCGCATGGAGGGTCGTCTCGTGTGGTCCACCCACCACCTCCAAATTTCCTCCAACTCTGAATATGAGGCCTGTCTTTTCCTCAAATGGGAGGAATTTCATTAGAAAGTAGACTATTTTCTATAAGAAAGAAAGACGAGCTTCTCTCTCTCACTAAAAGATACGATAAGATGCGAGTATATTGACAAATGGCTCATTCAATAAAATATAAAACGGCATTATTTGTCAAGACGAAAGTTTGGCTGGTGTAAAATATTGGCATTTCATTTGTTTTGTTTTCCTTTTGAAAAGACTCTTAGTTTCAGAGTGAGAGAAGAATATGAAAAGTTGCGTATTCAATATTTCACTAGCAGACGTCGTCGGCCTCGTTGTCGTCGTCGTCGACTTTTCTTCATCCCTTCACAAATCATCCCATTCATTCATTAGGAGAAGGAAAAGAGCTCGTCGCCGTCTTTCTTTCCCCAGTTTAGAAGAAGAAATAATCCGGGGATGATTTCATTAGAGCTGATGATTTCTCTCAGAAATTTATTTAATTGATTGAATTTCCATTGTTTCAGAACGAGAAAGTGGAGGTGAAGCAGAAATGGGCGTCCAGACTGTTGGGGAAGTTGAGGAAAGACATTACGCAAGAGTGTCGCGAGGACTTTGTGCTCTCCATCACGGGCAAGAAACCTGCCATGTGCGTCCTCTCCAACCCCGACCAGAAGGGAAAGATGCGACGGATCGACTGTCTTCGTCAAGCGGACAAGGTGACAATTATTTATTTTACTCGCCAATATTTACGGCTCGAAATTAATTAAATATACCGAATGAAATGGAGACTGTAAAAAAAATCTCTCGTCGACTGGAGCAATGAGATTATTGCAATTAAGGAGTGGTAGCTGTACAACAGAACGGAGACATGTTGGAGTGCTCCATGTAAAGCAAAACTGAGACGTATTTTCTCTCTATCTTTCCCGTTTCATAGCCCCATTTAGCGGAAACAACAAAGCGGCAGCCAGAGGAAATTAGGAAAAAGTAGGAAAAAAGGGTAGACAATTTCCCATGAAACTTTCTTTGCTGCTTTCTTGCAGTTTGCTGCTGCTGGTGGTGGTGGTGGTGGATGTGACTCTTTACGGATGTGAATCTAGATGTTAAATATAGCTTTAGCCCAGTGAGATCCACATCTCACTCGCCTCCACCAAAACTACAACTTTCTTTTCCTACAAACTTCGCACATTGTTGATCCTTGATAGGTTAAGCAAATAGTCGGCGACAAAAAAATCCCCGTCGTCCTCGCTCCCCAACAAAGCATCCGTTCTGACTATTACTATTTTTTCTGTCGGACAGCAGCCAGTGTGTGGCGGTGTTGGTAGTGGTGGTGGAGGAGCAACCTTTTCCTCCCATTCTTAATTCCCACTTGCTTATTATTTAGCTGAATGGGTTTGCAAAATCAGGAGACTTTCTCTCCATGTGAGAATTTCTCCCACTGCTGCCTTCCTTGGGCCGTTGTTGTTGTTGGGCTCTCATTTTTCTCTGTGTGTCCGAGTCGAGAGAAAAGTTGGGGCTCTTTTTTTACAATGTAAACTTTCCTTGGTCCTGTTTCATTTCATATTTATTGTCCTTTCTCGTGTCTGTTTTGCTCCTTGTCGCATGTATTTATTAACCCTTTCTGTCTCCAACGACTAGACTAAGTGGAGCATTGCATGGGATGAAATTTATGAAATTATGTGATGTCTCTTTGGGTAACTCGCCTGCTGAACTTCTTTCGTGCCCTCTGCTCTTCTTCTTCCTCTCTCCTCTTCTCCACGCTTGTGTATGTATGTGTAGAATTTTATGATTAATGGTCTCATCTTGGGCCTGTGATAAAAATGGGATTGTTAAGCAGGCTCCTTACTCGTAGTACTACGAACTGGGGGGTGGATGGCAGTGGATGAGTGGGTGTATGCCACCCTCGGTAACAAACAAACATGATCCTGTCGTGCATGCATACATGCGGAAAAGAAGAGAAAGTATATTCACATTGAGAAACATCACCACTTTCATCTCTATCTCTTTGTCTCTTTTTCGTACTACGACGACGACGACGACTACTCACTCACTCACTGCGATGATCTGATGATGAGATTTTATTGTTTATTGAGATCATGCATGAGAATATTGTCGTCATTCATGCTCCTCGAGTCGGTATAAGGAGGAAAGATGAGTAATGAATACGCGATGAATAATGAGTGATGATTACACATCTTTATTTTGCAGGTTTGGAGATTGGACCTCGTGATGGTGATCCTCTTTAAGGGTAAGTGATATCAATTTATTAGTTCAGTCGTCAATAATTTATGTAAAAATTGCATGAACAAAATCAATAGTTGTCAAACAATATATTATGATATTATGGTTGATTTTGTTACCCAGACGACTAGTAAATAGTCATCCAATTGTTGAAACTATACACTAATTAATATTAATTTTTTCTCTCCTATTTCCTAAAGCGATCCCTCTCGAGAGCACGGATGGTGAGCGGTTAGAGAAATCTCCAGAATGTCTCCGTAAGTAATTTTTTATTATCGAAATCCAATTAAGTTTCATTCAAAGGAACTGGACAAACAATTATAAATTAAGACTGTATTGCAAATGCTGATCCATATTCATTGTAGATCCCGGCCTTTGTGTCAATCCTTACCACATCAACGTTTCCGTCCGGGAACTGGATCTATATCTCGCCAATTTCATTAACAGTCACGGTAAGCTCCTTCTAAACTCCTCCAGCGAGAGAGCTAGAGAGAGAAAAAAATTCATTCAGAATCCATTAGCCATTCATTCATTGTGTGTGTGTGTGTGTGTGTGGTTGGGTACGCTGCATTTCATCCACCACCATCACAACCTGGGCCCATTTCATCAATCAAGTTTCAATTAGAGAGATCAAATTATACAGCGAGGAGGCTTCGACCACGGAACAAGGAGGAGGAGGAGGAGGAAGGACACAATTAGCAGTGACCACCACAACACCACTTAACAAGAAGAACAGCGGCCACAGGAGTACCACCAGCAGCACCTGTCCACTAGTCAGATGAGGAGACGGGCAGGCAGGGAGGGAAATGCGGACAGGAAATGAAGAGCGGAGAGAAAGTGGGAAGGACAGAAGAGGAGTTGGAATAAAAAAAGGGAATGTGGCCAAGACGAGAGCAAGGCGAGGAAGACACAAGTTCTTCTTCTTTCGTGACTTTACGAATGAGTAATTGGGATGGACGGGGAAATATATGGATGGCAGAAGAGCCTTAAATTCGTTGTTGCTTTGCGTGTTCAGCGGGGATGAATAAAACCCGATACACTAAGTGCTCCCATCGCCTGCCTCCCTCCATCTCCATCTTTCTCTCTCTCTCTCCTACCGACAGACCCACCACCACGACCACCAAGTTGCGAACAACACGGTCCGAGCCCCCGTTGTGCCCAGAGGCCTTCTTCTTAATGGCCACGGTCACATTTTCTTACTTGCCTCAAAAAACCGGAAAAAAAACTTTCTCTCAATAAGTCAACAGCCAAAAAAGAAGAAACAATAATTTCTGCCAGATTTTTAAAAACTTTGCTCTTAATGAGGAGAGGTGTTCACCTGGCGGAGCCTGAATTATTTATTGCTTGTGACTTAAAACAATTGAACAAAAGGATAAATGCGAATCTCTTAAATCAGTTTCTCCAACTTTTTTGATTTCAGATGCGATGAGCGGGATGGGTGACAATAACAACGAGAAAGATGACGACAGGGGGTTCAAGGGTGAGTCTCTTTCGGAACACACACAGTTTTTTAATTTCTTGTTATTCTTCCACTATTTCTCTGTCTCTTTGTTTCTCTTTCTTTCTCTCTCTCGCTCTCTCTCTTTCTCACTGTAGCATGACGCAATTAGCTCCTTTTCATATTAATCAAGTCCTGCTGCTGTTGGGACAGGGAGCAAAAATTAGTTGTTCGAGTCAAGACGAGTTATGAGAAATCGTTCATCCATCCCTCTCACCACCACCTCTTTTTCTCCGTAGCATTGTCTCCTTACGTCGAGTTAGGGAATGCACAAGTACAACGAGAAGAAAGCGAGCAGGGGAACATGAACAGTTAGTTAATCGAATCAAGAAAAGTTGCAAATGAATTGATCACCAGTCTCGAATTGACACTGCCAATTAATCGGTACAAGAATAATGGAATGAGTCGTCGTCGTCGTTGCCGTCGTCTCGTCTCAAGTTCCAAGGAACTTTTCATCCTCTCCTCGTACACAAATAAATCCCAGTGTTGCTGATTGCTGGCTAATTACTCAATTTGATTTCTGGGTGGGGCTCGTAGGCAAAATAGTTTTCAATCGCAATTGAATTAAGCGTTCGAATTGTATGTTCTTTTAGCATTTTGTTGTGAGATGTTGTTGTTGAATTGGAGGAATAAGTTGGATGGCATAGTTGAACTACAGCAGCGGAACTACGTCCATGGTTAGGAGTAAGCAAGAGGGGTCTCTCCGACTGGATGGTGGTGGTGGTGGAGATGCTGCTGCTGGATTAGTGAAAGCTAGTCGGGAGAGAGATACGGTCAGTGCACGAGAGAAAGTGATAAATTTTTTTCCAGTCTTTTAGGCAATTTTTATTACACTTGTTCTCTCCGAGATTTCAGCTATAAATGAAGATATCAAATGTAGACAAGGAAAGAGCAAGTCAAGTGTGGATTGGATGCGGCTTACTTTTTTATTTCAACTAAATCTCTTCGCAATAATAACTCTGTCTCCTTACTCCTCTCGCTCCTCGTGTGGCGTGTGTATTATTGGGAAGGACGGGGTTAGTTTAGTTTAAGAAAGATGGGCCGATACGACACACGCTGAGGAAGAAGAAGAAGAGAGCAGTAGAAACATTAGAAAGCCGATTAGAAAATGGTTGCCCAATTGTGCTGACGATGATCCCCTTATCGATATCAAGTCCTACTCCTTTCGCCATTGGGTTTCTCACTTTATTATTGGTAGGCGAGGTTCGAGGAAGAAGGAGCCAGGTTATTATTATTATAGGTGACACTCTCAACACCATTAGTTTCTGTTAATACCCCAAAGTTTGTAGTAAATTGTTCCCTATCAAACTCCAAGTGAGATGGTGGCCATGATTGGGAGGTTGCAGAGTGCGAAAAGATGGACATTTCGATAAGGCTCGTGGTGATGGTGGTGATGATGGTGGTAGTGGGAAGCAGGGCGTCAACACCTTTGTCCCCGGTAGGACTGGAGATCAAAAAGTACAAGTACGTGCTGCGGATATGTGTGTAGTCGAGTCCGTGGTCATGTGGTGTGTCAATGTGGAGATGACACGGGGTTGGGCTGATGATGAGGAGAGCAAAAGTAAAAGTCCGCAGCCTCAGCACCCACATTAGAGCTGATGTATAACCCCGTAAATCTTCACCCGCCATGAAGCAACCCCAACCTCTTTCGCCAACCACAATCAGCGTTGGGCATAATTCTCACAGGCCGACTGACCACCGTGTGTCCCACATATGCATCTTCTTCTTCTTCTATTTTGTGGTGGCTACTCCAATCTTTTTATCGTTCTTTCCCTCTCTTTCTCCCACTTCAGCCGCTTTCCACCCTCCTTTTACGGCTTCATACGTCAACGGAGCCATTCACCCCTCAAAATACCTCTCCTTCACCACTCACTCGAACAAGAGGAATGAAGGTACTCACTGTTCGAATGGTCGTAATAATGGCACAGATATCACCCACGCCAGCACACTTTCATACATTGTAGAATCAGCTTCAGTGTCCACTTTGAGAATAAAATGTCCACGAGGAGCAGGGAATAAAGGAGGAAGAATTTTGTCCCCTTACTTCTTCTCACCATTAAAGTGCTGTTGAATAACCACTGTATAATGATGCGGTAATGAGGCTGCTGCTGGAGACAAAGAAGACGTTGCTGGATTTAGCTTAGTTGCTCCTTGTTGTTGTTGGATAGCGGGGAGAAGAGTGAGCGGATGGATGGATAGATAGCGGAGAGAGGATATTATTATAGTGTTGGTTGGCTTTATGTGCAGTTAGCTTTGTCCTATGCAAATGAATGTGTGAAGAATTTGCATGGAAAAGTGCTCCAGTGTCGGTGGTGGAGTAGGACAAGAAATTTATGTCGGCAGAGATTACTCCACCCTTTCTGATCACTTTCTCTCCACCACCACCGTCACCACCACCACGAGCACAAGGCATACGTTCCTTCTTGGTCGTTTTGTGTAAGTAATAATCAATCTGCACACTTTCTCCCAGTCGTCTGTCTCTCACTCCTCTTTCTTTTTGGCTGTCCATCCATCCATCCTCCACGCCTATGCTCGAATCCATCCTCCACTTTCACCTACACACTCAGCGACACGAGAGAAATGGGCGTCAGATTATTGCTCTTCTTCATTTCGAAGAAAATATATATTTGGATATTAAATGGCGTGGTTCTTTTATGATTCTGCATTTCCAATGTCCGCCTGCACCCAGGGTGGCTGATCCCAACCCTAGTTTTGATTTGGAGCGGATATTGAGAGAATTTTATTTCTGTGGTGTTGGTGGTGGTGGTTTGGTGGCTATCATCGTGTGAGATCATCATGCTGCTTGTACGTACGTGTGGTCGGGTTTGATTCAGATTTGGTTGAGTGGCATTAAAGATGGAGATAAACTGACACATGTGTGACACTTGGTTATGACTTCATTTTGTCTTCTGGTCACTTTTGGCCATCAACCTTCACCCACTTTATGAACTCGCTGCTCTTTTTATGACCACGACGACTCGGCGGAGTTGGAATGAATGTGGAAGAAGGCGGAGGAGGAGTCGTGGTGACCATGAGAGAGAGAGCGAGGAGAAAGTGGCGTGTGAGGCAACGAGGCTGGTGGATGCATAATAATACGAAGCAATATTCATGGAACACACACAAACAGTTACTTTTTAGTTGTGAAAAGAGAGATTTTCCCGGATATTTTTTATTATGCGACTTCCTCCTCCTTCGTCCTCCCATATTACGCTCGCTATTATTGCATTGCACTCGCTTGAGTGGCATCTGCTACCCCGGCTTGGTCCTCGTCTTTTCCTCCACATCCACGGTATCAAAACACCACGACCACTGCCAGTACCGCCCGTCGTCAGAATATAATAATATTTCCACCAAGCAGCACCACCACTCCTCACTCAATAAGAAGATTCCTCCAAAAGTCATGAATATTTTGGGTGGCACGCAGAAGGAATACGACGAGTCAATGACGCAATAACTGATTCCACCCGGAATATCGGAACAGCAGATTCCGCCGCCGCCGTCCACACCACACGATCATTCCCATGCAGAGCTTCTTTTTCGATAAACACTCAAATAAAGTGAGGAGGGTAGGAGCACATGGAGGGCAGCGGCTCATCACCCTGCTGCTCCAAGAAGTTTTAATTAGATTCATGAAATTAGGCGGAGAGTGAGTCAGTAAGTAATAGCAAGGAATGAGAGTATGCTCATTTGAATGGGGCTGAAATCACCTTAATCTCTCTATCCGAGAGTGAGATAGTCCATCTTAATGCTCAGTTAACCCACCACCAAGTGCCATCCCGACTGCATGCAAACGCAGCTTCCCTCCTCCTTCTCCAGAGAAACTATCATCATCGTCTCCTCCGAGGAAAATGAGAGTCCTGAGGATTTAGTCAAGTGGTCGGAGCTAGGCGTATGTCGTAGTGCTTCTGCTGCTGGGAGCTCAACTTTTCCGTGGGGGCTTTAGGTGCATGGGGCGACGACAACTCTGCGGTGCATAATATCAATGCCGGACTTGTCGTTAAGTTAACTTCTCTCCGTGACTTCCTTCTCCTTTTCCCATCCGTCCTTCTCCTGCTGCATGTTGCCACCGCACTGTTCGTAGTACGGGTACACTCTAAATTCTAGACGAGTGAGTTAGAAAGTGAGAACAAATTATGCCAGAGTTACTTAACTACCACCAACATATCAAGCATAAAACTACTTTCGTGATTATCCCTCCATTCCACGCTCATTATGCATTGTTGAGCACCAACGACGACCCTTTTCTTACGATATGATGGTGTCAACTTTTGTTAGTCTGTCTGCATGTTGCCTTGTTTTCTGTTTTGAACTGTCGGCAAATTTTCTCTCGCCACGTTGGTGTTGACTGAGTGAGTGGGTGAGAATGAGGAGCAGAGAATTAGGAGGGGATCCGTTTAATCGGTTGTGCAAGATGGGCAAGTTATGACGAAGGAGGAAGAAGCCACAGCCCAGCCGAGGGAAGAGGGAGGCAGAAGAAGAAGAAGGGAGAAGAATTGGGACGACGGGGACATTTGAATTTGTATTCAAGCAGTTTGCAAGTCATTAATGAAATTTGCCTTATGGCAGCTCTTCCAAAGATTCTTCTTAATTGCCGTGTAGGATGTCTCTCACTCCCAATTAAGTCTTTTTATTACCACTCCTCTCGCGAGACTTGATTTTGCACCTCATTATCATCCCAACGACGACTTCTTCTCTGCTTCCATGCTTCGTTTTCCTCCTCCTCCTCGGATATCGTGTTCTTCTGGGACGAGCAATTTTGTCGTCTCCCGCTGAACGCTAACCGCAAGAAGTCGCGGCGCCATTTAATTGAGGAGCGGATTAGCATTCCATATCAATTCATTTCTTGAAGGGAGAACATGAAATGGCGAAACAACATATTGCGCCATTTCCTCCGCTTTTTCTGCTCGTCAATTGTCTCAAATTTTGAGCCTCATTTGTTTTTGTTGTGCCCAGGACATCGCGACGAAGTGAACGCGGGTTCATTTTGCATGTGTGCGAGAATCACGAGTCCTTTCTCCGATGTTCATTCTCTCAGTTTGTGTAAGTATATTATGCATCTCTTATGCGTCTGATAGGACCGGACTATTAAAGTTCAACTCAGTTGTGAAAGCTCATGGAGTTGTCCTTTATGACGGAGAGACTCCCTTCTTTTTCTCCATCAGGAAAAAAGTTGCACAGCGAATGCATTTTTTTCTCATTCGCCTTTTTATCTCTTGTACTCCGGCAGGACGAGGAGACGTTTCCACGGAGGATGAGGCAGTAGTACGTATATTTAGTTTAGCAGTCGTCGTCCGACATGTAGATCAGATTTACAGATGGGACACACACACAACCAAACTGCTACTACTGCGATGGGTTCATACATGGAGTGAAAGTGCTCCCAGGTTCTGCAGGGTCAGAGTTGGACCATGTAATTTTCAGTGAACTGATTGCCATTGTAGTATTTTGAGGAGCAAAACAGTACTTGAAATTTGCAAAGTTGCACAAAACCTCTGGATGAACAGTGGTGGAAAAGAAGATGTAGTGGCCGGATAGAATATATACGTTCTCATGGTTGGTGTGTGTTGGTTGTTATTCCTTGTTTCAGTTCATCCGCTCATCCTGTTCCTCTCCCCCTCCTAATTTTTTGTCTGCAAAATGGCTCGTATCATGTCGGACAAGAGGAGAAGGAAAGGAAAGAAGCCATTCCGAGAATCCTACAATTTTGTTCAAGAAGAAGATATTCGGATTTTTTTCTATCTTTTTCTCTCGCCGTTTGGGTTTTGCCCCGGATGGAATGGGCTCCGAAATGAAATGAGGATTGCAGATTTGCATTCTCTCAGTTTGGATATTTTGCTTTATTAGGCAGAAGATTAAGGAGTGGAGGATGAGGCTGGGCGAGGGCTGAGATGAGTGAGGAGGTGAAAGTGGCTGAAAAAGTTGACAGGTGGGAGATGGCAAAGAAAAGGAAAGGAACTGCATAAATTTCATGTCCAATGATCCGCATCTCCGTCTTATTGTTGGCTGGTGGCGTGTCGGTGAAAGTGATGGGATGGACCATATCACCAGCGGGCCACGAGACCCTGCATTCTCTGGCTGGATGGCTGGTCGACCGTCTGTTCTCACACGACGACGTATGACCAACAGACTGTCCCATCTTAGGTGGGCATAGAGAAAAAATGGACCGAATCTCTCGCACCCGGATATTATGACTATCATGTCTAACTGTCCTCGGCTCCTTTATCTCGGACCGCCTAGCCTGATTTGATCTCTTCCCTCCAGTTGGTGCATGGGCTCCTTTGTCTTAAAAAAGTGTCTCCTCTCCATTCCCTCGTAATATATGAAGGCTGACCTCTCTCTCTCTCTCTCTTCTTGCAAGGCAGTCACCAGTGCAGTCACGAGTCGTGGATATGTGAAATCTTTAGCAGTGAATGAATCCCCTTTTTGTCCTGTTCACCTTTTATGGGAGCGAAACAATCCGAAATGGGTGGTTTTCAGGAGGAGAGAGAAGGCTGCGGACATGAGCCATTCAGTTCGGTCTTATGATTACCGTTTTCCTCAATAACGAGTGATGAAATTGCTGTAAGAGGAAGGATAAGTGAGCTACATTACAGGCTGCGGACCCACTTGTCAAAGACGACTCCGAGGGGGGGACCACCCACACTGTCAGCCAGTTGCAGTCTGCTCCTTTCCTCGGCAACCCCATGGCTGGCCCGTGATCGCTTGGTTCACCCCGAATCACCGGGAAATGGCCTTAAATTCCTGTTAACAGGCCTCGACCTGCTGGGAGACTTTGTTGAAAAGGAGACGTTGGGAGATAATGGCAGTTCCATGGGATTTTATCCACTGCACACACCATCATCCTTCCTCCTGCAACATGGTGGAGGATCACTTACGACTACTGTTTCAAACTAAAAGTGGGTTGTGATGAAAGCAAATTGTGACTTTTGTCCTCAGTTTCCGGTAGCTAAACTTTATCTCTTCCTCTCCTTGTGGTCAGGAAAGTAGTAGGAGATGAATTTTAAAATTATGCACGGTTCACCCCTCACCTCGCCTTTCGCACCTCTCACTCTCCTTAAATCGTGGTGGTAGCGAGTTAATCTGCTGATTGGGCTTTTGGGACCTGGATGAAATGGAGCAAGTAGTCACTCGAGAGGAAAAAGAAAGCAAAACACTGCTCCCTCCCGGAATCCGTCGCTGCTGCTGTCTCTCGTGATATCATAAACATAAACTTGTTCCCCCATATCCTTTATCAACTCGTAAATCAACTGACTCCTCCACTCACCCCGTTTTATTTTACACCAAGAACTGACTCTGCCTCACCACCACCGTCGTCGTCGCTTTGTTGCATAGTCACCCACCCCTAATTGAGAGGAGAGCAGGCAGAAGCCCTGGTGGTAATGGCTTCACTCGGCTCGGCTGAAATTGGTGAAAGCTGTTTTCTCTTGAGGCGGAAATCTCTCCTTAACCAAGGAGACCGACTCCGTCTTCTTCTTCTCCCTCGGGCATGATTGATGGTGTGAAATGAGACGCAATGAACAACTGTCTTAACATGACGCTTGCAATATTTCACTCACTCACTCACTCATTCCAAGGCTGTGGTAACTGTTGCTTCTTCCTTGGTGAGAGTGCAGTTAGAGAAAGTGGGTGCGAGTGATTGTTGACAAATGTATGGTAAGAGTGGGCCATGATTGGGGATGAGTGGTGAGGATGTGGTGGGCAGTGGTCGTCTAATGAATAGATAATTGTGAGGTCAAACAAGGTTGACAGTGGAGGTTTATTAGAGGAGAGATGATTTGTGGGGGAGAGGAAGGCCTATAAATATCTCTGGGTGGGTTGGACAGGCCGAAATCCAGAGTGGGTTTCAGAATTTAAGGGGGCAAAAAGCGGGATGGGTATGACTGGTAATAATTCTGTCTGACCACCATCCGATCCAGTACGTATGAAAACGCAGTATATATGATCTCCGCATCCCCCAAAAACCAAAACCACCACGGCCGCTCATCTCTCGACTTCTTTCTTTCTTCCATTCTCCACTCTGGTTTGGCGGAGTGGAGAACCGCACGGGGAGAAAAATGGGTTTTATTTGCAGAGAAAGAACAAGAGTTTGATCAGCCTAGCACCATCCTCCTAATCGCCCCATGAATGAATGACTTTCACTATTAAGAGCTCCCTCCCAGTGGGTGCAGGCAGCAGGAGTCGGGGCGTATATGATCATGTATACCCATGGATGAATGTATGTGGCTGGCGTGGAAAATTTACCGTGTGAGCACTTGCTCTTGCTTGGAGGCACCTCTTTGAATTCAATGTCTGTTCCGCCAAGGTTCGATTGGTTTCTTCCGATGATAAATTGGGCCTGCGACTGAAAATGGCTCGCATTGCTGCTTCCATGCCCTTTTTACTCAGCCACTATCCTGTACAGGGCTCAGCTTTCACCACAAATCTGGTGGGCTGAAATGATGAGCTTCCCATTGCTGGGTGAACAAGGAATCTATTTCAGATTTTGGATTTATGGAAGATATTTAAGAGGAAGTGTGGTGCACACAAACACGGCTGGTATGTTGTGACCTTAGTTTATTGCCCACATTTCTCTTACCCATTCCTCCACCATCAAATGGATTTCTCCTCTTTGGTGTTCTCCCAATGCTCCTACGCGTCCTCGTGGTGGCGAGGTTGTAAATTTTCCTTCCTCGGGGTACGCTCCGCTCCTGTTGACATAAGTGATCGTTTCTGGGACTCGTTCTCTAGCTCCGACATGGAATTTGACACTTGTACTTGTGCCATTGAATTTAGCATGGCTTTCACTCTCTCACATCCACAACTCCAAGGGCTTCTTCTTCCCTCTCAAAAAAATAAATGCACTCTCAACAACCCTGTCTCACTTTCATTAGCAAAATGGGCCCTTTTTCCTCCTCCAATCCACATAAAGCTCCATTTGTCGCTTTCTCTTTGACTCTCCACACTACAAACGTGTACCTGCTGACGTTTTCTGTTGTTGCTGCATCATCGCTGTGTGAATGAAGAGTGACAGACAAGGATATTGTTTCGTTTTGCACATTATTGGCCGGTCGGGTTTTTCTCTCCCTCTTTGTTTGGGATGTGTGAACATTTGTCCATCCGAGATGCATGTGGTGTGAAAGCCATTCTTTGTAGGGAAGAAAGAAAGCAAGCAAGTGGACTGCACTGAGGCGATCAAGTAAAACAATTGGAGAGTCAGACGCTGAATTTTTAGAGGCAAGAGAGAGAGAGAGAGAACTGTGTGTGCGTACTATTTGTATGGGAGAGAGAGTCAGAGTGAGAGAGAGAGAGAGGGAAAAGGACGACAAGTCCAGTGAGCCACATGCATGACCTTCTTATTCTTCTTCTTGTTCTTCTACTTCCTTTCTTCCAATGTCTTTCGACATGTCGACTCTTGTCTTCTTTAGCTTTCACTCACGTTCCCTTCCGCTCTGATGCTGCTGCTGCTCCAAGTACGCTGATTATGCTCCAGTGGTCTCTCTGGCTAGTTCGGTGTTGTTGTTGGACAGCAGCAGCAGTGGCAGCACAACAACCTCCTGGTCCTCATTTCCATGAGTGGCACAAACACACACGTAGAGAAGAGAGAGAGAGACATATAGACCGTTGAGTAGAGTTGTTGTTGTTGCTTGGGCTAATTTCCTCATATCATTGTTTGTGCCCCACAGGGTATCCACACAATCCGTACAACGGGGTGGTGTGCAATGACACGATATTGGGTAAGTCTCGAGTTTATTTATCAAATGATGGAAATGTCTGTTGGATGAGTGAAGGGAGGAAATACTTGATTATTATGAATAATTAGTGGTACTTCAAAAAAGAGCCCTTAATATAAATTATAATTACAAAATTACACAATTCAAATGTCCACAAAAAGAGAGTGCATGTACTACATTATGCAATACTTTTAAAAATTACAGGCAAATTCTTAGTAATTTCTTAGAAATAGTATATTCCTTTGCTCCGAATAGCATCATAACCTTGTAAGAGATCAAACTGGAATGGGAAAATTGAGACAAAGGTAATTGGGACGCACAAAGATGGATGAACTGAACAAGCAATTTCCAAAAAAACACAAATTCATGCATAAAATTCAAATCAATAATTGGAACGAGATGCATTAATATTAATTAAGAGTTTTAATTATCTAAGAATTTTAGTTCTCGAAAACCTTGAAAGCCATTACTGCTGTAATTTCATGTCACAGTGGCCCCACATGGAAATCATTCCCTAAAATCCTTCTTTCTCCTCCAAATCCTCCCACACGACAAAATTTTGCAGATACATATATTCAATTCTTGTATGAGTGATGATTACACGTCATGGGGCTCGATTAGGGTTGCAGACTCAACTTTCTCCCTGTTGAGGAACATCATAAAACAGTGGATATGGAGCTAAATAGAGAATTTGAGAAACTATTGTGTAGCAATCATGCATTTTAGACTCGCCACGTCATTCTGTTTCTTACAATACGGTACAACTCACTCATCGTTCTCTATTTTAATCATGTTTGCTTTCAGCCACCGGAGTTTTTTCATCCAAGGAGCTCTTCTACCTGTCCAAAGGTTAGTTACTTTCCATTACTTTCCATTACTTTCTATTGCTCTCCAGTTTTTTAATCGAGCTTATGAAAGACTACTCAAACGTAGAGTAATTTAAATGAGGCGCAGAAATTCCTTGAGACTTTATGTAATTCAGCTGTACAATATTTAAATCAAAGTAGTACAAAAAATTACTCTGCTTTATTAACTTAAAACCAGCCGACATATTTATTTCTCTAATAAAATTCTAGTCTACTAAACAACGAGCAAAGTACAAAATAAATAAATAAATAACAAAATGTCTCCATTTTGAATGTTGCACACCAGCTTTATCTCAATTCACTGCTAATTCAATAACTCGTCTTACACGGACCAGGCTGGAAATTAGAGATATGTTCGTGGTTGGTTGAAGAGCATAGGCCGACCACGACCACCACGACACAGCTAATGAGTTCAACCAAGAAGATAGCGACATTTGTAATAATGATTTGTAGTTTGCATGGGAGAGTGGACATGGATTAGATCGTTAAATGAGTATCTGCCCCCAGAAGCAGTGTGCACATCGTCGTCAGCACGGGAGGGAAAGAGAGAGAAATGTGCTTGTGTGAGTGCATGTGTATGTGAGCCTCCGAGGGTGGGAAAGAGGGTTGATGTTGCCTCAGCACCATTTTCCCTTGTTGTTGTTGGGAAGATACCTATTTATTTATGGAGAAAGTGAGAGCAACAAAGAGCAAGTTTGGTGGAATCGGGGGCAAATAGCGTGAAGCATTGATAGTGATTGTGTGAGTTGTTCGCAAATTGGCCAGTGATCTGTAAACTTTCTCCTCCTTGCTCACTACCACTTTTCGCCGTTAGTGCTGCTGCTGCTGCTGCGTTTATATCTCCATAATGTTGTTGTAGTTGAGCAGATTTGAATCGTGGCAGGCAGGCTCCTTGCCACGCAACAATTCTTCTTTCCTTAATAAACTAATTATTATCCATCCACCCAGTGGCTTCTGAGAGACTTGCATCAGAGACCAGTTAGTCGTTGGACATGTGAACGAACACACATCGCATCGCATACACAGAGTAACCTTTCTCTGGTCGGCCCAAACTGAGAAATTTCACGATCCTATCAGCCGCTTTATGGTCTGTTCTATATGCATCGGGAGGCTCAATGTTGTGTGCTAGAATTGATGACAAATGGTGTCTCTTTACTAGCCATTTAACTAAGCAGAAGCAAAGTGCGGTTTTCCACGACCAGTTTTCCCCAGCGGGAGGCAGTCGCTAGCTCTCTCTCTCTCTCGTTCCTTCTCTGGGTCATAACTCTGACCCCGCTGCTGGAAATGTGATGCTATTCCATAAACTCTCACCCATTCATCGCTCATGCTTTCACCGAACGTTGCAACCACGAAATACATGCATATTTACAACTACATACATGGCACTACATACTGAGGAGTATATACATATGCACTGCTACCTGCTCAGTTAGACGGTTGGTCTGGTGCGTGAAGACGAGTTATTATTATTCCGCAGTGGATATTACGGCGGAGGGACAGTGCACTACATACTTTGCTAAACGTGAGATTGAGGCCATGCAGATAATATTTACGTGTTGTGTTGTTGCAAGCTATTATCTTTGTCTTCTTTTTCTGGTTCCCATGCAGCGTCCATTGTCCAGGGACCAAACGGACTGCAGCCCACAATCAAGATTGAGAACAGTGGCAACTACTACAGCAACTGCTACACCCCGCCAGGTCCGGACCACTCGGTCCTCATGGGCTCAGGGACGTACAGTGAGTGGAATTAAATATGAATACGTGCTTTCAAATTTCTGACGATCTCTTACGGTTTTTTTACATCAGGTCCGCTGGCACTGCCCCGAAATCTACCTAGTCCCACGACGGAACATAGAAGCAAACGGCGAAGACTGAGTTCAGAGGAGGACCCGCTGGACGTGGGCGGAGGTCGAGACAAGAACAACGAGGTGACCTATTATGGTCAGAGCCCTGCATCTCTCTCCAGTCAAGCCAGTTGGCATTCTGAAGTGGACCATGGTGAGTTTATGTCATCCCCCCTCTTCAAATTTATTTAAAAATCCGCGGGTGTGGTTTCACGCTGCTCACTACTAATCATCCTCGCGGTGTCCTGCTTTTTCGCCCTTTCTTTGTTGAAATGATAATTTTAGTCGTTATGAGCGAGGTGGTGGGTTAGCTTTGGCCCATTTAACCGACCATGATGATCATGGGGGCTGAAGAATGTGGAGACAACGCATCATCAATTCATATCGTATGAGGTCCTTTTCTCGGCTCTTTCTCTTCTTGTGGCCACTACGACGTACTACTTTTACCACTTGTCGGCCGTGGCGGTGTGTGTGTGGTGGTGCTTGGATTAAAGAATGGGGTTGGCTAGCAGCATGTTGTTAGCGTGGTGGTTTTGGGAATGGGACGTAATCCAATATTTTATAGACGGTGATGGTTATTATGGGATGGGGTGGTTAGTCTGCTTTCATTTACGAGGCCACCACTCTGTCTGTCTCTTTAACGAATAAGCCGTCGTTCTGCTGCTGCTGCTGCTTGTGGTCGCAGTAGTCGTCCTGGTTCTTGCTTTCTCTCGCAGCAATAATATCAACTCAGGCACCAACTAAACTCTCAAAGCTACCGAAATGTTGCGTTACTCAAGTAAAGAAACGACGAGACAAGAAAAGGTACGATTATGGCTTGCCTCCTCCTCAACTACTACTTGCTGCTGCTGCTCCTAACGAAAGCAAAAATCAAAGCCAACCAGAGCGACGACGACTACTTGTACAAAACTGAAGATGAGACGGGAATATTATTGCTGTTGTCTTGTCATCCAGCCATTCAATCCATTTCTCGTCTTGTTCTTTTGCCTTCTCCGTCTTCTGACTGAATGCTGATGCAGCTGTTGTTCTCCATTGTGCTCGCTTTCACTCTTTCTGCTTCTTCTTTTGGGATGGTGGTGGTGGTGGTGGTGCAGTCTGTTGCCCATGAGATGATAAGCGACGCGATGAGATGAGAGGGTGATGTTCGCTCCACTAAATCTTCTCTTCCTCTTCTTCTTCCTCGTCTCCTTTGGGACGACTTTCTTCCGAGACCTTTCACCCGATCGCTCTCTTTCTGTCTGTGTGTGTAACTTGGCGATTTTCGGACACAGGCGGACCTCATCACCACTCGCGACACGGTCCCTCCAACATGGGCGGGAGTGGGTCTTCGTCCAGTAATGGTCACCCCCACTCGATGCACCACCCGCATCACAATTTGAGCCATCCACCCCATGCTCACTCCGGCTCCAACAAGTCTGACTTGGGGCTGAAATCTCAGGGTAGGCTTAGTAGTAGTTCTTCCAGTGAGACGGATCCTTCCAGTCCGTTGGGTCTCATCAGCATTCGTCAGCAACAACAGTCTGGTAAGCGTTTTATGAGAGGCGGATGACTTATTTAGTGGCGTTGGTGTTTGCGTGATGATGATTGGCAGAAAAACACGAGGTTTTACACTAATACGGATGATGTTAGATCAATCAAAACGATTCGGAGTTGTTATATTTATGGCATTAGCAAATGACTGATTCTTTTTCTTAAATCGTGACAGGATTGAATCAGCATTCGACGGTGACTACATTGGGTTCCAGTGGGTTGACAGGTGGCAGTGCAGGTATTTGCTGACTCTATTTTTGGTTTGGCCATTATTTATTGGCACTAACAAAAATAACACAATATTTGCAGGCACTTCCTACTATCACGCGGACGGGAGTCATGACCATCACGGGAGTCCGGCCAAGTACCATGAAAATGGTATGCTATTTTGAGTCATTGGAATCAACAAAAGTTGTTAACATGTATTTGCATCTTTTTTTAAGGACACGACACCTTCTCTGATTTTGTCACTCTGGTGTGTCAAGAAGCTCAAAGCGGTGGTGGTAGCGGAGGTGGGGGTGGTAGTCAGGTGAGTAATCCATGGTCACCTCTAGTTGTTCAAAGTTTACGTATACTAATTCTGCCTTATTTTCAGGGAGGACGTGTAAGCAGTAAGCTGTCGGCTTACTACACCAGCGCGATGCCACCACCCTCAGCCCCCATGGCTCGACCTGTAACCATCATTCGGTCGACGGACATGGGCAACTCGGGTCTTGGAGGATCACCACCCTCCTCGAATACACCGCCGCCACTTAGCAACGACTCTGGCGGGAGGGATTCTCGCGGAGGGGGCGGCTCACTCAGTCCGTCGCAAGGAAACGATTCCTCGCCTTCGCCTCGGTCATCGTTTCCTGTGTCGCGGGACTACTCTTTGAGTCATCTCCATTCGCAGTCCTCAGGACAGGTTCACTACGTATAAATTCACTTTCTCTTCTTCTCCTCCACACTACTACTACCACCACCACCGCTAACCCTTCTTGGCGTGTGCACTCATACCCCTTTGTTTTCCACAGTTGTTCAGCTACAGCAACATTACACCTCCGAGTGGCATGAGTGGCGTCATTTCGCCGACCACAAACCTTAGTTTGTTCCCGTCGTCGTCGGGTGGAGGAGGCGGATCTGGGAGAGGGTCGAGGTCAACACCGTTGCCCAGATGGAACACCCCGTTCATAAGTTTGGATGAAAATATAGATTACACGATGGTGTCTCCACTCATGCCAGGACCGGCGGAGCCAAACACGGCAACTCTGATTGATGATGGTATGATCATTGCGTAAAAAACAGCTTGTCAAACATTTTGTTACTAGTTGTGTGTGCTGATTAACTGGAAAAGAAAAGTTTGAGTGTATGGATAAAAAAGAAATTTGTGGTGAGCCATTAACAGGGTTTGCGTTGTTATTGTCCTCTGTGCAGGTGGTCATCGGGGTCAAGTCATTTAACAACAAGAAAGCCCAAAAATCTCGTAACAGTAGAATGGCCTGTCCGGCCGGTCTTGAGCAAAAGGTGATGATCCCGACTCAACTCAAATTGTTTAATTGTCTCGCAATGTCATCATTCAGAGTATCGTCTATTATTTTGCGTAATAAGATTTGGCCAAGATAATAATGGGTGGTGGGAACGGACATGGGCTTTTCGTCATTAAAATGCTTGATTGATTTTTATTTTTTGTACGGTGTGGTGGCTTGTATTTTTGGATCGAATTTGCTGAACGACATGTACATATCGAACACAATGTAGAATGAGTTTAGTCAAATTGCCTATTTCCGCACAGTTTCGATATCGACATGTTGTTACGCAAATTGTATTAGTCCTTCTATGATTTTGTACATAATAGTGTGACTCTTTCTGGCTGGGCTATTTGTAGACGTGATACTCGACCTGGGCGTAGTGTGGTACTTATGTATGCATAGATGTAGAAATATACGCGACAAACTCTTGTAAATTCTTACCAAGCTCTCGTAATAATTTTCTCCTTTCAACCTTTTACCGTGTGATATCCTTCTCTCTCTGTGAAAAGTCATCGTTACCACGGGCGTCTGACAGCTTTCTTCCCTTTGCAGAGCGATACTTCGTGGTGCACGGGGGCAGTGACAGTCTTGACGGTGGAGGTCCTTCGGGTGGGACGATTCAGCTCGGCAACGGGAGTCATTCAGTCATCAGCGGTGGACCTCCATCGCCTCCACCCCATCACCACGTCCTGCATCACTCCTCAAGTCCGCCACGGATGTCTTCCACGCCCAACGGGAACGACGGAGGCCCCAGCAACAATAACAGTAATAACTCCAACAGCAATAACACTCCTCCATCCGGCCAGAAGACATAGTACTCTCCACATGCAAAATTGCCTATACCTCGTCCTCCTCCTCCTCCTCTTGTAAATACAGATGAAGAAGATGAAGAAGACGAAGCAGAGATGAGACGTTCTCCTCATTTTTAGCAACAAAATCCACCCCCTCTTCCCGTTTATTTAGTCATTCACGTGTGTAGAAGAACTTAAAAAAAACTACTCAACAACCACGGAACGTGTTGAAATGGAGTAACGTAGAATATTCTAAGAGTAACTTATTTCCTCAGAGTAAATGAATGGATGAATGTCAAGAACAGAATCGACGATATGACAGTCGTCTCACTTACATTATTGGTAATTATGATTATAAAAAGCTGCGACAAAATCTATTTCTCCGTCAACCCTTCTCTCATCACACTCTTGTAGCGAGTAGAATCTCAGGGTCTTATTTTTTATCCAGATTGATTGAACTTATTCAAAATTTAATTTGTGACTCTGAAACAAATCATAAAATTTACACTCTATTTCAAAAATATTCTTTGATTAGAATCCATACAAATTAAAAACTCGTCATTTCATCCTCATCTCTTAAGTCTGTCATTTTTTAAGTAGTTGATGTCGTCCGTCAGATAAGATCTCATGCCATTAAAAAAAATGTGGATTGTCCGTAGAAGAGTTCTTTCTAGTACTTGATTTTATGTTACGTATGACTAAACAACCCATCATGATTTATGATTTTACATGTTGGCCAGTTAGCTCGGTCTCTGAACTCAGTAGGTATTTATTCATTCAACTAATTAATTAATTAATAGTGACAACCGTTTAGTTGACAATTATAAAAATTGCACACAAACACATACAAATATTTGTAGCCTTCTCTCTCCAAATATAAATATATATTCGTACATATGTAATGATGATGACGACGAATATGCACCAGACAACTCACTCAAATTCTAAAGGTCCCACAGAAGAAGCCAGGAGAAGAAATTATTTTTTTACGTATGAATTTTGAACGTAGACTATTCGACAATTATTCAACATTTTTTGTAGTGCGTAGTAAACTCGTTAGTGGAGTGGGCAACAGAACAATTTTTTAATAGTGTACCAATCCAAGATTGCATTAGTAGGGCAGTTTTTACTCAAAAAACGAGACACATTATTCTCCAACCAACCCGTAAATAAAGGCATCGTCCCCCACGATGCTAAATGTTTTCATTTAAAAAATGAAACCCAATTGTATAGACCACTCGTAGTTAAAAAAGACACTTTTTAATTCTTAATAAATACTTGGGACGGCAGCGACGCGGATTGATCACACTCGCAGAACAATATAAACACTGTGACATTTGCAGCTTTAATTTGAGACAGTACTAAATAAGTAAAACGTAAATAAATACTAAGTAGATAAGCGTAATACAAAATGGTGCGTAATAAGTAGACAGCCGCGACTACTACTAAAAGGTAAATATTGAACTACGATATGGTGGGATGGACAGAATTTTTAAAAATAGTAAACTCAATTTCAGCAATACTTACTAAATATGAACCTAAATATGCCCCAGTAACGGTGACACGGTGACATTATTTTACCTCTCACCACACACGAGACTCACACAATAATAATTATTCATTACTCTGATAGCGTAGGGTTTACGTAGTAGGTTAGTCGTCATCGCGTCAGTGCAGGGTCGAAATCTCCTCCACTGATCTATACACGATGACGATAAGGATGGTTAGAAGGTAATAAGTACAGAAACCGTATGTGATAAGAATCTAGTTGTTATCATATTTTTTGTGACGGGAGAAACTTTACTCTAGAATTTAGCAAAGAATTTAAAAGGGGACGGACAACCTTTCATGCAAACGAAGAAGAAAGCCTTATTGCGTCCTTGTGAAAGTGACGATGAAAGTAAATGACAATTTTCATGCTGAAATTTTTAATTTATAGAAACCCTGCAGTATGTAAATCTTATTAGGTAGCGTATGTATTTAAATCGTTGTTGCTGTTTGTTATTGTTAGTTATTGTTGTTGTCGATGATAATGATGATGATAATGAATGATATGCCCACACTGGTCACCACCCTCCTCCCCTTTAAACAAGGTGCTCACATGTACTTCTTGGTCGTTGCTGTTGTGCTTATAATTTTATTAGTCATTGAGAAAAAGTTGTGAGTTTTAAATAGCATGGTCACGCCGATTACTTGCTTAATAATAATACCCGTAGAACGTAGCTAAATGCAATGTTTGGCTGTTTTTTCTAGTTGATTTGATAACGTAGGTAGAGAAAATAACGTGTGTTTTATGTAGCAAAACAAAAATCGTGAACGCGAGGAATATGGATTCAGTACAATAATTGATGATCTTAGTTATTTGATATTAATCAACTCTTATAGTTATGTAGAAACGATGCATGGATTATAAATATGAATATTATGATTCGATATTATTGTTATTATTATTATTAATTATCCTCATTCATGATCCTCGATCCTCTGCATTGCTTGCTTTTATAATAACACTTAACTTGAGCTCAGCACCAGCCAACATTACTTATCATGTGCATGACACGCTCTCAAATTGGAAGGATTTTGTTAGAAATGTACATACTTAATGACAACAAATTATGCACGTTTGCATGCAATTTAGGCTACAATATAATTATGATTATGATTATGATTAAACACATAAGTACTTAAACTCCGTATTGGTTGAGCATCCTTAAATTATTACGTACACCACCACCACCACCGTCAACACTGTAAATAATTACCACACCGTATCTAAAATATTATCAAATAGTAGAAAAAAGAACAAGTAGCCAAGAAGACATGACGAAGCGTGTCGAATTTTTAAAAAGTGCGATTTTGTTCCTTCTCTACATACAATATGACAACTATGTAGCGCTTTAATTTAATTATGCTGTATTTATTATAATTATAATTATTGATGATGGAAAAATCAACCCGTGGAAAATTGAAAAGTTGTTATAATTATTATTTATCATTACATTACTTACTTACGTTCGTTAATTCTTGTTGATGCTGTAGTATGTATGTATACGGGTGCGTTGTTGAGTTATGGGCACGATGACATAGCTCCCAAATTATTTATCAATCATCAGCCATGCAAACGTTAACAATAAAAAATGACTTGTCTAAGTTTGCCTTGCTTTCGTTGTTGTTTTATTTATTTTACATAGAACGCTGCTGATTTATGACGCTATTTTTCCTTCCATTATTATTTTTATGTAGAGAAAGAGAGCATGTTCTACCTGGATCGCACTTTCACGGAAACAGCGAAGGCCTTACAAAAATGTTACCCAGTCAGTAGCAATGTCTGTCGACGAGTATGGCGCAATGTCCACTCGTAAAAGGAGCCTTCTCTTATTCAACTTGAAATACGTACTAAATTGACTTTGGAGTCGTGTGGTGGTCGAAATATTTACCTACGTAAATCGCCACTTGCACTGCTTGCTGCATGACATGTTGCCAAAAAGACCGTACAAATTAGTAAAAAAACGATGCTCCTTATAAATAAATACTAAATATGTAGACGATAGATTTAAAAAATATTTCTACAATACATGTTTTCAGTGATGATGATGATGATGATGACTAGTCTCACTTGTCCATTTAACTAAATAAAAAGGAACGAGAGTGTCTTGGACAAGGCTATTTAATTACCACAGTTAAAAAAGCAATAAAGATAAAAGCAAGCAATAAATAAATACTTTCAGATTTGATAACACTACTGTCTCCCTGAATAAGTAATGCAAGAGTATACATAGTAAGATGTACTAACGATAAAATAAATAAATGGTGGTGGTAGCGAGCCAGCAATAAGACACTCTTTTAAACTTTTAAAATTTTATGATCACAATTAGTCAGTCGTGCTACGTACAACGTACGAGTAATTAAATTAAAAATTAAAATATGTGACTAAACACGTAAAGAATGTGGATAGATTATCGTATTCTATTTATTATGCCCACCACTTCTGATTTTTGTGTCACTACTATTAAACACTACGAATTGTAAGTATAGTAAGATTGTTACTACTGTAATTTAATGATGACTGGGGAAGATTAATTAATGGATAATTAATTAACGAGGTGATGGTTAGTGTCCAAAAAGAGGACATATTACTAAATTCTATTTACTATCGGTCGGTACTATTGTTATTTACACATTTACATATTTCCTCTTACAACCACCACTACTATTACAGACAGACTTCCGATAAGAGGGAAGGAACTTATGGAAGTTCTGACTGGCGAGTCGTCTAGAAGGCCTAAAAAACTGTACATACTATGCAATACATACACTCATCTATTCGCCCTAATAATTAATTAACTAATTATTAGTAAAAGTATTAATAATTACGAAAGAGAGAAAGAAACGGATTAGTCAAAGTTCGTGAGTGATTTTTATCAACAGAACGGTTTCATTGTTATTAATACGAATATGTTGAAAATGTAAATAAATAATAAATAAATGATGATAAAAACCAAGGTCACGTGTTTATCTAAGTCACGGCATATCTTTTCTTTTTGTATTTATTAATAAACAAAGAAAATCATAAAAATCATAATCAAAAGTAAAAAATAAGAGATAATTTTCTAAACTTTGTTCCCCATGGAAAGGTTTCAGTCAGGAAGAAAATAGCGCTGCTTCAATGTCCTCCGCAGCGCCGAGGTCGGTAGTGAAGTCTACTTTCAGGTAGGGTCGTCTCACAACGGTGTCAAGAAAGAGGGGACAATTTGTCGCGTTGACGCAGGGGCGGCGAACCGTAAGCTCGATTCTCACAATGAACACGTCCTCAAGCGATGGTGAGGTCAGGCTTTGTCCTCGTTGTCCCGTGAGTTGCTGAGTGGTCAAGTTGCTAAGATATTCAAACACGTCGAATTTGCGGGTGGTGTGAGGATAGGATCCGACGAAGGCGGGGGGTGTGGAATTGTCCACTCTGGCACTCATTGTCCAATTCCATTCTCCTGACGGGGGAGTGGTGACGTTGTCAATGGTCGTGATGTGGAGGAAGGCTCGAGTAATGTTTTGCAGTTTGTAGACATCGGGTCGAAATTCCAGACTGGCCTCCGTCCCTTCTCCGCTGGATCCAATGACTTTTTCTGTACAAGGGAAAAACGGAGTCAAAATGGGACACTTTTTTTTATAATATTAAGTTTTCTTTACTAATAATTTATTGACATCTTACCAGAGACGACGAAAGGTAAATAAAGTTTGTACAAGGGTTTCGAATGGGCAGCAACTTTACTTCGAAGAACTGAACTGCTTCGCCGATAAGGTCGAATTCGCCACCTGCTGCACCACCCTTGGAGGCCATTGTTATTCCCTTCTGTGTCAGTACCAGTGTGCGAGAATGCAGGAAATGGAATGATGAAAATGAGAAGAAGCCCACGAAAAGTGATCATTTTGAGTCGTCTAATTGTGAGGAAAGTGAGACAACTTTGAGCGAGTGGATGCGCAGACTGGAGGTGAGTATGTGAATGAGTGTTACTTTTATCCAGCGAAAAGAACGCACTTCTACTAATCACCCGACTACATATTCGGCATAACCAACTGAGAAACTGGTTATGAGACTGGCATCATTTCCTTTCCTACATACGTCAAAATTCCACATCAAATTTTATTCCCTTAATAACTGCTGGATTAGATTTCATATTGGCCATTAGTGATTGTAATTAAGCTTCCTTTGGCATTGGCACAGTTTGATTGAATGTTTTGAGCAAAGTTTTTAAAGCCAAACTTGAAGACGGCAAAAGATAATAGCATCTCATGTCTCATTCTTTTCACTCATTCAATTCAAGGCAAAACAAACCATCCGGATTTCCTCCTCCGAATCAAATGCAAAACGAGCATACAAAAGTACAAAGAAACCGATACAAATCAACTGCTAAATGCAGGAGTATCTAAAAGTGGGAGGAAATATGTGCATATATGACAAAATTTGTGAGGTGTGCATGCGCATCAACTAATCCAAGTCACAAGTAGTTGATCAACATCAAACTGTATCGGGGAAATAAATCGCCGTGGAATTTGATCCACCATTAAAACAATGAAGCGACGATAATCACTTATCTGAAAATAAGTCCGCTGTCCGTCTCAAAAAGGGTCACCTTCAGCAAACTGTGAGAACAGACGCTTCCCATTGTGTGCACTCTAACCCAGTGGCAGCGTCAACGCCAAAGGTCGAGCATTTTTTATGAAATGGAAACATGAGATATCAATGCAGGCCTGGACGACGACGCGGAATAATTTTATCTCCTGCCTGCACCACTCAAATTACCTTCGCAGACGATCCCACGGCTTTCTCAGGACAAATACACGACGCGACTCTCCTAATAAATAAGTATCACGATGAATGCGACTGAAAAGTCAACCAGGTGCATAATAAATACCAAACGATTAACCAGCTTCTTCATCCCATTCCCAGACACATACAAAACTCGACTCCTTTTATTAATTTTAACATACAAACAATTCCTCTCCTCCTACATTTTCCATCTTGCTCATTAAAAACTAGATATTTTTTAAACAACGGGTAATTATCTTGACTGGTAAGCTGTACTAATTGACATTATCTAAATATTTACTTGAAAAATTGGCAACATGTCATAGCATAGCGATTAATATAACCTAATTAAATACATAGGAACAAAAAAAATGACGTAAGAAAGCAAGTGAGAAGCACCCAACTAACGATGTAAATACACATCTTGGCTCCCGTAAAGGTAAACAAGTGCCTCAAAAAAAACCTTTGTTTTGAAACCATGAAGGTAAATGTAATCATATCAAATGTCATATTATTCATGCATTCAGCTCATTTGAAATTCAAATTACTAAATAAATTTCCACGACCGAATTAATCAGGTGCATGCTCTCTCGACATGTGTACCTGTGGAATGGTAAACAAAATGACTAGAAAAAGTGGTGACGCCATTGACAACTTTTACGTGAGTGAGCCTCTCCACAAGAAGAAACTTATCCCATGCATAAACTTATGTGGTCCATAAGTTGTAATATCTCAAGTATTTGTATTCACTAAGGAATCGGGTAAAAGTGTTACCAGCCTATTTTTTATGGATGAAAATCACGACTCTGAAATGTATGATAGATATTTTTCCTCGTCGTTGATAATAATAATTAAGTAAATAAGTTACGGGTTGACCGAATGGACTCTCATGTGACGATTGAGATTCCCAGATTGGGAAAACCTCAAAAGACAGAGTTTGCACTGGTACGGCTTTTCTCCCGAGTGGATTCGCAAATGCTTCGTGAGAGTGGACGAGTCGGAGAAAGCCTTTTTGCACAGGCGACACCGGTAAGGCCGCTCGCCCGAGTGCGTCCTCATGTGCGTCGTGACTGAAGAGCTTTGTGAAAAACGGCGGTCACAAATTGGACAGCGGAACGGCTTCTCACCAGAATGCGTCCGTATGTGCGCCGTCAAATTGGCCGCTTGGCTGAACGACTTGTGACACTCGATGCAACGGTAAGGTTTTTCTCCAGAGTGGGTTCGCAGATGAGTTTTGAGCGTGGAGGGTCGAGCGTACGTTTTTCCGCAGATTCGACAAAGGTTCGTCTTGGAGCTGAAGCTGCTCAGAGCGGGGCTCAAAGTCTCGGACAATCCTCCTGAAAGTCAAAGTATTTGTTACGTTACCTTGTTATTATTTATTAGATTTCAATTGAGAAGCAGTGACCTAGATTACTGGAGGAATATCCAAAACTATTAAATATTATGTATATCGTCGCAAAAGTTGTCAGTCATGATGGCATACGCGAAGCCAAGCAGTCTGGGCGATGCGGGCTATCGACTCATACTATCGACACATTCATCTCGGTTTAAAAACCTTCAATTTCTCAGAAAATCAGGCTTGGGTTAACTTTTCCATATTTATGAATGTATTTTTCTGACTTAATAAGTGTGACTGACTAGCGTATGGTGTGAGTGAGGCTGTTTTATGTACATATAGATATGTATGCATTGCTCTGATTGCTCACCCTGATAAGTTGCAATGGTGGCTGAAGCAGTGGCTGCCGAGTAGATTGGAGACGTTGAACAGGAATTCACGGGATGATTGTGCACTGAATCGTTGTTCTTCTTTTGACGTTTCGATGTTGACGACCCCAACGACCTGGAGCCGGAAGAGGACAGCGCGGCTGTGGTTAATAAGGACGACGAATTCGGAATCCACCCCGATCTCAGTGACTCAATACTGGGGTGGTCGGGTCGAAAGTCGGCTGCAAAACTGTACGTGGCCGAGTACGGTTGGTGACAAAAGTTTGGGTGGTGATGGTGATGATGGTGATGACTCCCTGGCGAAGTGCTGTACGTGCTGGAGACGTAGTTGCTGGGGGTGGATTGTGAGGAATGTGACGAACTGACGGGACCTCCACCAGGCCAATTTAACTGCAAAATATACATGGTGCATGAATTAATTATGCAAATTATCGTTAGAATCGAGTGAGAGAGAAAGTGACGTATAAATTACTTGATGTTGAAGCCCTGTCTCAGGTGGTGGTAGGTAACCCATCGTCATGTTCATCGACACGTTGACACTCATGGATGGGAAAGGAGGCCCAAAGTTGGGTGGAGCCACTACCGTCGCATTTGGCACGAAAGACTGGTCCAACCCGTAGTTGGGCGAGTATCCATTTGGGGACAAGAGATGCTGCGACGACATCGAAGAAAGTAAAAGTGACGCAAATTAGAATTTACAAAAAAAAACGATGAAATTCCCGGTGAGTATTTCGTGACTGAGTGGGTGTGACGACTTACCTGTTGAGACTGTGCGTAGGCTGAGCTGTGATACGGCATGGGCGACATCCCTCCGCCGCCGGAATGATTGAGGGACTTCTTGAAGGAGGAGGCGAGGAGCAGCACGTCCGAGACGTCGTTCTTGTCTCTGAACATAAAATGACTTCTTTGACTCAAAGCTGGCGAGATGAGTGATCTCTCAGACTTGGTAAATGTGCGTCAAATCAGAAATCACAGAGTAACGTAAACTAGGTCTCACATGTTATTGGGTGCAAAAATACTTGGAAGTAGTGGTTCTCCCAGCTCCGCCGTGGGAGACAAGGCGAATAATCCAGCCATGTTGTTTGAGGCGGAATTGTACATCTCCATCTCCTCCACTGCTCCTGTCGTCGTAAGCTCCCCATAAGTCCAGATTGGATTTTCGGTGGCACAAAACAAGGTCTCCATCCCTTTTTAGTCTGCGCATTTCATCAGCCTCAAAAATCAATTCATTAATCATCCATCCATCCATCCATCCATCATACTTTCCATTTAAGGATCAGACACAAGCTAAAGATTATTTGGAGCATTTCCCCCACGAAGCAGTATGTTGCACACAAAACGAAACGTTAATTTCAAGGTGGAAAAGTTGGAGGAGATAGAAATGGAGAGTGAGAGAGCTCAGGTGTGCAGGGCTACTACGGAAGGAAGGAAGTCATGTTGGGCCCTCCTCTCAGATTCGATTGGTTGCGCAACCCTCCCTCCACGCCCTTCTGTCACTCATCATCATCCTTCTCCGGGAAACAAATAAGTCGTCTTAATCAATTCCACCGACTTTTTCCTCCGTAAGTAAATTTTCTGGTTTTGTCGGTAAACCCGAATAAAAAATCGGCCCTTCCACTCAAATGGCAATGCAAATTATGAATACTTACAATGTCTTACGCGTTCTCGTTTCTAAAGGGTTTTGGGGAAAGCTGGTGTATTTACAAGAATGAGACGTGGTCAGATTTCTCTGCCTCATTTGTGAAGCATGCACTGGTAAAAGTTCAGCTATGCAAGTTATTAGAGGTGCTCATTGTCAAGAAGAAACCAGTCTCAATCTCTCACATAGGTTTTTACGGGGAACACGACTTAAGATTTTTGCGTCTCGTGCAGATATTAAGATTCCTACTCACACCGAGTCACACTACAGTCAAGCTTAATCAACCCAAATCAAAATGGCACATGCGATTAATACTCAGCATTTGCTTACCCAAAATAAAACAAAAATTGAGACTTGCACCAACCAAGTCTCCACTGGATACTTTGCATGAGCACAATTTATGGGGACTACTTTGACACGAAAACCTGTACTCACCTGTGGAAGAAGTAAATTTCCGATGGCACCCTTGACTAATTAGTTGCACTTATCAAATTGAGCACTACGTAGCAAATTCAGTGCGGAGATTGGAGGCAAGAGCACTTTGGGACTGTTGTCCCCTGGCAATGGTGTAATTAGGAGTGGAAAGGGACTCCACGATGTTGCGTCCCACTGTCTCGTTTTTGAATGGGAACTGAAGAGTCACCATTGTAGAAATAGAAACAGTAGTCGTGGTCGTAGTAGTCGTGGATGGGGATGGTTTGCAGGTGGAAAGCAGTCGAGTGTAAGCACAAGCTTCACTCACTCTTATCGCTAACCAGAGGTCAAATTAAGGTATTAAATTCTCACACCAGTCACTCACTCTTGGAAAGGGACGCCCTCCTTTCTCTTGCCAAATGATATTACTGCACGACTTCCATGTACCTCGCTAATTGTTGATACAGACAACAAGTAACATATACGTCATAAAAAATGTGCACATTTTTGTGCTTACGTGTTTTTGGATCAAATGTCCCTGATGAAAAGTACAATTATAAAGTACAATTATTAATAGGTAGTTTAGAAAAATGTCCTCCAAACTATTAAAACTAGCAGCAAAAAATTGAGAATGGAAAATGTACATAAATTTGCCTCATTTCATTTGTTATTGATTTCCTAAATTCGATTAAAAATGTAAATAGTACAAACACATAGATAAATCATTTAACATTTTGATAATTGAACACCCTCATTGTTTACTAACTTTTCACATATTTATTCCTGTTTAATGTAAATCATGCGTTAATTACAGTAACTTGATATGAATCCCGATGCATTGGCTTGGAATATTGAAATGCCTATGACAATTATTAGATGAGATTTTTTTCAGTCGGTGCAAACTACTAAAAACAATTCGAGACAAGATCAAATGTCAGTCAGTGTCAAGATCGTCTCAAATTTATTTTATTTTTCCATGTGTCACAGAATCCCATGCAGATCTTATCAGCATATTAACGGCAAGGCAATCATCCTCCTGCCAACTTTTCCTCAATCAAAAACCACGAATGTAAATAGATATGTTACCGGCTGAAGGATCCTGTCAGCAAGTGTACAGTCGGATGATGAAGGTTACGCAATATTTATGTACCCTTTATCTCATCCCACATTTGAAAGACACGAGATACTTTGTTATTCGTGGTGGTGGTGGTTCCTGCGTAATGTTTACCTTTAGTCTTATTTCGGCCAACGAGGGCTTCATGCTTAATTATCCCCGGATCCAGTTTCCTTTCCTCTTGTTGGGTTCAACCAGCGAGAAAAATTGACCCATTATTTTCGGAAATATGGCCACATCATCATCATCATGATTATCAGTAGCAAGTCAAGTGAGGAGGAAACAACAGTGCAAATAATAAGGCCACAACTTGCATTTCTCATTGTCTCATCTAGTGTTGCCACAAGTGACAAGCCCATGGAAGGGATAGGATTTTTCCCTATCCCTCCCATGGGCTTGTGGCAACACTAGTCTCATCTCAATCGCACCTGTATTGACGCAGAGATTGAATTAAACCCGGCAGGTTGATCAAGGGTCCCCGTCCGAAGGGTGTGAGGTATGCTTGGCCCCAACCTGTGATCTCACTTTGCCTCGGCACCTTCTTCTTCCGGTCGCGTGTTCCACAATTCTACGCCTGATTTTTTTTACATATCCGCCCGGCTCATATTTAGTCGTATTCGGCATCTGAGAAAACAAGGAACTGAGTGCGTACTTTTAGGCATATTAGTGAAACCAAATACTGTGAACAGTTTTGTTTCTGTTAATCACAATATATTTCGCAAAATTGAAATTGAACGAGTACTTGGTACATAATCCTTCGCTGTCGATGCAGCTAAATAATCATGATTTCCTTCACTGTTGCTCATTTCGGGCAAGTAAGGAGCGAGACTTACATATGAACCGCACAGCCCACAGCTTAATCCGGAACTGTCAAAGCTTTTCTAGGACGACGACGACCCTTTATCTCTCATCTCTCTGTTTTGACGCACGGCGGACGGTGAGGATTTATGCAACATTGCCTCATAAGAGGATTAGACGACCATTAACAACTAATTTTCAGTTTATCCAGCATACGTTCCGACTTAAGAAGAGAAAAGGGCGATAGGAGACCAATCCAATATGAAGTGAAGTGAGCATGGCATGGAGTACGACGGGTGACTATTGAGCTTTGCATAATATGACGAAAAGGATGAGATTATGTACACAAAATACTCGAGAAAATTACCAGTTTGGGTTTATCAAAGGCTGAAAGTGAACAGCGAAACGACATTACTTCATGAAAAGCTTAATTCTCATGTAATAGGACATTTATATAAGTATTTTCTGCTTTCTTTCTGTCCCCGTGATTGATCAAGTATTAAATAAATGTCAAAGTTTACTCGGGAATGGAGGAAGTAGCTCCAAAATCTGAAATACGACGGAGGTTGTGGCGTCTATATCCCTTTTCCTCTTCCCCTTCATCAGAACTCGATAAAATTAACGATAACCGTGTGTGCATGGCTTTTGGTGAGTAAGAGAGAAGAGTGATTGCTAAGACTACGAGATAGCATGAAGTCGGAGAAAGTTGTCATGAAGTGAGGAGACCTTAGAAATGGAGTGGTTCCAATAGAGACGGATGAAACCATATCTGTGCAGCACAAAATATTGATCTGATCCCATGTGTTTTGTGGCTACCCTTCGATGATGAGCGTCTTTTTCAACTTATTCACTCACTCAATCTCGCTCACAAGCATGTACTTCCCTCTGTACTTTCCATATAATGCAATTCCATTCAGTGTTCAACAAATTTGTTTGAATCCCCGACTTCTTCTTTTCCATTCTTTTCTCTGCGTAGTCATTGTGAACGAGATGAAGTCGTATCGATGGCTTAACTACTGCAACTCGCTACCGATTTTTGATATGCGACGTGGCTGCCTGCTCTGAAGAAACGCTTGCATACATACTTAATTCTCAATTGTATTCATTCTTTGTCCGCTATGAGATATGCATGTAGCATTTTTCGCAAGGTTATTCTGTATCAAGACGACAAAGAGAGTCAGTCATGTGATATCCAACCAGAAAAGAAAGTCGCGTGGAAGAAATTCCTCGAGAGAAATCGGAAGGCCATCTCGACTCCTGAAAACAGACAACTTTCTCCACCAAGCTCCCAAATCTGGCTGGGAGATGAGGCACACGTCTCAGATTCAGTATTTGCTCTTGGTTGCATGAACTCTATTTAGTAGTTAGTTAATCATTTCATTTGTAAATTTTAAACTGGGAACGATACTTGTTGAAGGAAACGAGATAAGATTGCATGGATATTCGACGCTAATATATTTTGAGGGATGAACTAATGAAAAAAGATTTGTTTTTATACTTCATCCATCATCTTTTATGAGCCAAAAACAATTCCTGGAGCAACTTGGGTGTTCTAGTGCGTATGGTACTTACATATAAGCTCAAGTGTAATTTGCAAACAGAGGCATATTTTTATTATTACAAACATGTTTAGTTCTAAAAACACGCAAGTTTATTGTTTGTTCGTTAAATTTGCAACGGATATTAGTGCTTAAAGTTATAGCACACAGTGTGATATTGAGGCGTATTTCATAAGTGCATGATCACACCAATTAATTATCTAATTCATTGTAATAATGAAAAATATCTCCAAATCATTTAAGCTAAATAGCAATCTCAATCTCACAATGTTATGTATGCATGTGTCTGTAAAGGCTAATTTTAATTCATATTTATGAGCACACACATAATGAAATCACTGCTATCACATATGTATATAAATCAATTAATAAGCCGTATAATTAAAAAATGTTCAATCATGATCATCATGTCGAGATATGACTTTATCTCCTCAACGTGGGTGTGGATAATCCTCTTTTTGGATAAAATTTGACCACTCCTCACCTCTTCGTGCGTCGTATTCTATTCAAACTAGTCGACTTGATCGGGTCGTTTGGTTGTTTTAAATCCAAAAAAATGTTTCGAAATCCAGAACTATTTCTGGCATTCGTTTTCTCGCTGACGCTTGGCGTAATAGTTGCTGAGAACGAAGTTGCCCTCAATGGTCATTATTTTTTTATGCTGTTTTTCTTTTTCCGAGAGTTTTTTTTTGCAATTTTACCTTCTAATTATTTCAGGTGCCCGAGCAAATCTCGATCGTACCCCGAGAATTGTTTGCTACTGGAGTAACTGGGCCGTGTATCGTCCGTACCCTGCCAACTATGACGTTGAAGATATTCCCCCAGAACTCTGTACCCATATCATCTACTCGTTTTGCGGAGTGTCGTGAGTTTGAATTGCACACATCAAATTAGCTTATTTTACTTACTCCTTTATTATTATTTGGTATTCAGAAATGTAACATGGGAAGTTTTAGTGCTTGATGAAGAGGTAATTTTTTATAATATTATGATGGGAGTTGTCGTTATAATGGTTGTCTTTGGGACAGAGGGACATCGAGGGTGGAGGATACCAACGTTTCACCGACCTTAAAAAGAGAAATCCCAAACTGAAAGCATTGCTCGCAGTGGGAGGTGAGTTCAGATAATTTACGTAACATATTTCCAATTTGATTAGTAAAGCGATAAATGAACACAGGGTGGGGAGAGGGAGGGAAGAAATATTCGCAAATGGCGTCGATGGTAGAGAGACGAAACAGCTTTGTTAGGAGCGTCGTTGGTGAGTAAATCATACAAATATTGGTTATTAAACTAAAAATAAGCATGTATAACTTGTCAGTATTTTATAATTTAAGAATACATCTCCGAGTACAACTTTGACGGTTTCGACTTAGATTGGGAGGTATGAGTGACATGTCACAATTAATTTTTTTGCAAATCAACTTTTTATTATATTTAGTACCCTGGCGCAATGGATCGTGGTGGTAATATGGCAGATAAGGATAACTTTCTCTCGTAATATAACTAACACTTTTTTGTGTCATGCAGTCATTTAATAATCCAACTCTTTGTTACCTCCTATATTTAGCTTGGTAGAAGAACTGAGAGCCGCTTTCGATGCCGTGAACCCCAGTTGGGAACTGACTGCTGCAGTACCCATCGCCAAATTTCGGTTGGACGAAGGCTACCATGTTTTTGACCTGTGCAGGTGATAACAATGAGAAAATATCTTAAAATTAGCTTAGTTTCAGTTCTTCCTAATTTTCTCGTGCAGGATTTTGGACGCGATTCACGTCATGTCATACGATCTTCGGGGGAACTGGGTTGGATATGCTGGTAGGACGACACGCAAGTTGGAAATAATGCATTCTACATAAAGACATTGTTATCTTTGCAGACGTGCACAGTCAACTTCGCCGCCGAGAAGAGATCGACAAATGGGGATATGAATTGCTCAATTTCGTTAGTCATACGTACACACTAACGCCGAAAATTATGCGCATTTTCATGAACTGATTTAAAAATTTTAGGAGGACGGTTACCAACTCTGGGAAAATTATGGCTGCGCGAGAGACAAGTTGATTGTCGGGGTGCCATTTTACGGCAGAAGTTATGGTGCGTAATCCTCATCAAATTAATCCATCACATGTGTTTTACATAAATATGGTGAATGCAATAAATAATATATTACTGACAAATTCATTAAAGTTTTGGGAGATCCCAACAACAATGGACTCGGGGCGCATATTGTTCAATGGGTGGGTGGCGGAGATCCCGGTCCATTGACAAATGCGACTGGATTTATGGGATTTTTGGAGGTCAGTCACAAGTAAAAATGATAAAAATGCAAAGATTGCAACTATTTAGATGACGAATCATCTTCTCGACAGATTTGTCTTTACCAACTTACTGACCCGATTGGCTGGGCTAAAAAATACGATCCGATCGGAGAAGTTCCCTACACTCATAGGGCCAACCAATGGATTGGCTACGAAGATGTGGATTCCCTCAAGATCAAGATGAACTGGATCAAGGCCAAGGGTTACGGAGGCGCCATGGTGTGGGCGATTGACATGGACGATGCTCAGGTGAAGAATCCTCGATACTTTTCCGATTCCGTAATTAGCGTGAACTTTAGTAATGCAAAAAGTTTGGCCCACACAGAACTTTTGCAAATTTGGGAGACACTCCCTCCTTCAGACGATCAATGATGGTCTTGCCGGCTACATCGTGCCAATTGCACCCGAACCGACGCAAACCCCAGAAGTATGTCGCACATATTTCATTTTGTCCTATTTTGGTCAAGTTTCCTTACATAACGTGATTCTTGTGTTTCAGCCGACCTGGTGGGCCCCACCGACCACGACGCAATATACTGGGACTGGACCCACGACTACAACCACCACTCCAAGTCCGGGTGATGTCGATTGCTCTGTCCAAGAGTATTGGCCACATGCCGATTGCAACAAAGTGAGGACCACGGCTCTCAATCCAAGCACATATTCCGAACTAAAACTAATATATTTTTCTTGCAGTATGTCCGCTGCGTCAACGGTAATCCGCAGGTGAACACTTGTAGTGGTGGGCTATACTGGAACCACCCCTTCAAAACGTGTGACTGGCCGGCTAACGTGGATACGTCGAACTGCAATGTTTAGCAAGTTAAAATTAATGCAATCATTAAATGCAATCATTATCTTCTTTACTGTTTTTAAAAATTATAATAAATAAGCCAAATTTTACTGCAATCAAAACGAGTTCGTTACTAATATAATATTTATTAAGTATATTCAACTTCTTGTCATGAGCACCGTTAAAAGTTAGATTCTTGGACAGATTACTGATTATCACACCTCATCCGTCGTATATCTAGCAGTCACTTAATTAAGTCATTGATTGTGCACATAATATGAGTACAGAGTTGGGAAGTAGGTCCCGAAAAAAATGGGTGATCAGAAAGAATCCATAACTTAACTTTGGGATAGTTGTTACTACACTAATTTTTGCTACTAAACTAAATGTGCACGATTCTGACAAGAGAGTTTTGATAAGAAATCATGGGTCGCCATCATCAGTATTTGTCTCTCCTCCTCATGGGACACACTGGATCCTGGAATAGCCGAACTGGGCCCCATTTCCAGTCATGGTTGCTTGTTGCAGGAGTCCAAACGTGAACTGGCCCTCTTTTCGATAAGTTCCTTCCGGACCTTTGTGTCCCCTCTGTTGAATGAACCCTCGAGCCGCATCTTCATCCACGGAGGACATGAGCAGCCGACACGACCACGCCACCAGGGCCAGAGGCTATTTTATATTAAAAAGTTCATATTAATAAGAAACATATAACCAAAAACTCAACCAAGAGGGCAAAAAAAGAATTAAATTTGCAATTTTGTTCCCTGCAAAAGACTCGACTCTCGAAAAAAAAACTAAAACTTTTCCTCCATCCCACACTTTCGGGTCCAGACTAATTATTATTTTATGTAAAAAACACAACAATCTATACAGAGAGCTGCACCACTCACCCGTTCCGGAGTCAGCAAGGTGCTCGGCGTAATGACGTGCTTTCCAATACAGCTCTTGACGAGTTTCTTGAGCTTGGCAACTTCTGCAGGGTGAGCGCAAGGATGATACAGCATGACCACGGCTCCATGCTAAATGAAAAGAGAGCCGACGATGAGATTAAGATAAACCAATCATCACGTGCAATTGCATTCCCAGACGATCCAGAATTGTAGCAAAAGTATTTCAGAAAAAAGTGTTCAGTGGTCAGACGAGATGACACAGATACAGTTTTTTTTTCTTCCTCATTACGACTTTACTTAGTTACAACTATTTACTATACTCACAGACACAAGGCTATCATCTCTACTAGTAAGTACGCAAGTAATACCAAGAAACCATCTTGTCACTTGTACCACTACTAACAAAAAGTCATAAATTTGAGGAAGCAGGAGATTCTGGAGAGGAGAAAGCAAAAAAAAAGAGAGCATAGGGCACCGCAGAGTCACGACAATTTGCAAGTTTTACTTTTAACAACTGCTGAGAAACCTCATCCTGACTCAGCTTTCAGCATTTATTTTCACGGTGACCTCATCAGTCTGCTATGGGCACATTGCACGCAAGAAAGAAAGTGCCGGTTTCCTCTCCTACTTTTTCCATTACTTCGAGACACACACAACGAGAATCTCAGGCGCGATCATCGCAGATCTGCTTCTTTAGCTGTTCAGTAATCGTCGTGAAAAACAACAACGAGTAAGAATAAACTAATTTTATAAATAACTCAAACTGTGCGAATTTGGCGAAGCTATTTCATGATTTAAGAAAAATTTTGAAAACTTTAAATAAAATCAAGGCGACATGAATACATTATTTGAATTTTCACGAATTTCTGCCAAAAATGACAATACTTTCATCTAAAAAATCTAATACACGACGATCACATCTGACACTGCCATTCTCGCCGAATGAGGAAGTAGAAGGTTAAGGCTTTTACCAGCAGCGATTTCCATTTATTGTCAATCACACATCGCACACTTATGCAACTTAAGTGAAAACTCGGCTGCAAAACTGAGCCCCTTTCTCATCAGATACTACGTGACGATAAATACTTTCCTTACACGAGAAACACTTTACTCATTTCGTCCCCTGCTGCAACTTTGCCTGCAACTTTTAGGCACTTTTTTATTACTGCCGGCAGAAAGTGGTGTCTTTACCTCAATGTTGTGCAACCAGCGTTCTCTCGGAACGAAGATGTACTCTCCAAATACGGGCCACAGTGGGCGATGGTCTCCGCTGTAGACACGTAAACAAAAACAAAATCAATCCAAGTTGCATATTAACACCGCAAGGAAAATAATAACTTTGGAATAATTCTTGCATACTGTGTCGGGACGTTGTCCGGGTAGTGGATTCGTTCACTCATGCACAAATGTCCGGGCTGGAAAAAAACGTGACGTCAAGTCATTTAGCTTGACTACGCAGTTTATTTACTTAATTTTCTAAAATACATACGCCACTAATGAGTTTCTCAGAAATTACTTTGGTTAAAATGGCACAGCAAATATTATTCATATCGAAGAAATCAAGCCAGCGTTTTGACCTCCTGGAGAGAAATGTTATCATTTTAGGTCAGATTTAGTCCCAAGGTGTGTGAACTCTGAACCACATACACACATGTACCAGTGGGCTAATGGATTTAATGATGCTACATTTTTTAAACTCAATTTAAAATGGGACATTCACTCTGTTTTATTAAAAGATCTTTTCCACGCGCCCACGTTTCGGACGACCAACTTGTTATTTTCGGTCATTATAATGAAAACTACCTAATTCATTAATATTAATCAACCTTATTCATTCAGTTCCCAGTCTTCTTTATGCCCAAATTAGGATCTCTGCGTTTAAACTATTTAAAAATCTTCAGAACATTACTCCAGCAGGAATATTTTCTAATGCTACACTGTCTGAACTGAAGTCTATGTACATATTTAACAGAATTGACAGGTTTGGTTGGGTGTGGCCTCCCAATTATTTCGGTACAAAACCAGAAGGAAATTCTTTGCGTGGCAAGTTTTACAATATTCGCATATGAACAATTTAACCAAAACGCTTCACTTACGACATATCTTGGAGGTAGCCGGTCACATTGCAGGAGCGGTGCGAGAGAGTCGTCAACCGGGAATCTGTTCTCGGGATGGTAGCTAATATTTCAAAAAGCATGCACAACATTTAGCACAATTTCCAATTACAACTGAAATAAGCAGAATTGCTCACCATGTGTGATTCACGGGAGACATGTCCCAATCCACAGTCAAATTTGTCTGCAAGTCAAAAACTAGTATCAGAACAATGAGATCAACATCATTAAAAAGTAGTGAGCATAGTCTCCACATCATTTTCTAAAAGTTTCTCAACAAAACTCTTCATTGTTGTTGTCGAGTCGTCGACGAGTGTGTTTGACTTTCAGACAAGTGCACACTTTGGCTCGTCTCATCTGATGCATAGTCTACTAGATACATAGTTGGGTAACGTCTGGAGACTTATGCAACCCAGATTTTCGTAATGCAGCTGATGCCACATTACATGCTTCCAAGAGGAGAATCTCCTCATGCACAAGGAGAAAATATACAAGCTCTCTCGAATAAAAGTGAACAAAAGATAGGCTCGATTATTGAGTGAGATGCCATCATTTCTGGTCACAGGAGAATCCCAGTGACAACCTTGATGATGATGTAGCTCGAGCAATACTTACTTATCTAACCTTGCCGTGCTTATTTGCTTTGCTTGCATGCATATTATCACCAACTCCCTCCAGGCATACTTTTTCTTGTATTCCTCCATCCCAGGGAAAAAGTGGGTTAATATTTCTGCAAAATTACCCCAGAGGCAAGCATGCTCTTGGAGTGTCCCATTTTCACTGCATAGCGACAACATGCCGGTTTCACGACATTTGTCGACGCATAAATGGGCAAAGTATGTGATTAATTCCAGACTCGAGTCTTTCTCACGCAATGACAATTCTGCATCTGTATTGGCAGCAAGCAACTGAAAATTTCCAGGAAACGGTTTTGTTGCGGGAAAGACATTTCCCTAATTTAGAGTGAAACTGAACGAGAAAGTCTTCAAAAATATAAGACGACCACCATTAACATTTAAGGGTCAATTACTTTGAGACGACTACTCAAATCAGACCCATGTTCACCCACACGAGCTTTCTCTGCGCCAATTTTCTTCATCCTATTCCCTGATAGTTAAAAATGTATTGCTTTTGCCAGTCCCACTTGAAATGAGCCCTGTGATTGTTCTCCCCTCGCCCATGCAAAGTCCAAAACTGAACCTTATCATTACTTACGTCACAAAACTACCTACTTATACATCAACCCTGTAATTAGCAAAATGAGCTTTGAGCTACATATGTATAATTCGACTTGATGCTCCATCATTATCATTCATTAAGCCCTACTTCTCGAAATAACGGAATTTTAAACGAAATTTGTGCTATTTCCTGACTTTAAACTACTCCCGGGAGGAGGACCCCCGTCGGGATAATGCCGGCACGTGGAGACCCTCCCACTTCTTTGTGTTCAAGAAGTAGCTAAAGACCAAATTTGGAAAACGGAGTAAAAAACTTGAAACTCGTGGTGGTTCTTACCTTTGCATTGTCACACATCCCGTTCGAGACTCCCATTCGGACACGGCCTTGTGCATCTCTCGGAGGTGGGGTGCTCGCACTCCACCTGTTCCTGTTATTCCATTGACGTCCCGGTGGTGGGGTCGAGCTCGCATATTGCGGGGCTCCAGCAGCAGGAGAGTCAAAAAATCTGGAAACGACCAAAACCAAAATGACAAGTTTAGTCGTCGCCATTATAAAAAAATAAAGTTGCCAATGAACAAAGCGAGCGCTATGACTTTGCACTAGTTCGATGTACAATGGACAAACTGCGGACTTCTGGCAATTTTACAAAATTCCGATATTTATCTAATTATCACAATTATTCCCATTCTCTGGAATAAATAGCCAGCAACGCACGGCGACCAAGTGACTGGCAGAATCATTGATTTATTGATTCCTGCATATCATCCATAATGTAACTTTAATCACATTTCCACAAATATGTCAGTATGAATGTAATGTAAGAGTGTGCCGGGCAAATGCTAAACTTTAAGGTACATTTATTCAAGTAAAAATTGCTGAGAATGTCACAAGCAAATAAATGTTGACATTCATTACGAAACGTAAAACTCCCCAAAAAACCAAGGTTTCCAAAATATCAACAAACATGTTTTTCCTCCAAGTATTTACGTCGTTTAGTTGCATCACCTGATTAATCCACAATATTATGAATGTCACTCGCTCATCATGTTCTCAGCCATGCAGAACTTACATCATGTCATGAATCCTGATGTAATGCGTATACCCCATTTCGAGAAATGTCCACTCATCAGAAAGAATAAACAATATAAAGATTGTCTGTTCTCTCGGGGGCAAAATTAGGTGCAGGAAAAATGATCTCATCATTTTTCATTCCTCTCTTGAACTTTGCCATTTCTCAAATAAATCTACTCACTCGGAGATATTTCTACTATCAGAGAGCTCTTGATTTAGATTTTATTACTCAAATTCCTTCTCCTCATCCTTATGCAAACTCATTATGGACGTCCAAGTAAAAGTTGAGGAACATTTGTTCATCACGATGCGACGGCACTCTCGGATTTCACAACTTCTTCTTCTTCTAAATCTTCTCCTTGATTCTCAAAGTCAGTCAGCTACTTACTGAACCGGATCAAGTTCAGTTCAGTTTCTAGTTACAACTGGCTCAGGCGTCTAATTGGAGATAACAATTGATGTAAGAAGAAAACAATGACAAATAAATGAGTGACACTTGATCGGCTGGAGTTCATGCATAACGCAGTCTGCTTACTATTTGACAACCTTAACCTTTCGATCAAGTGAAAGTTGTTTACATGAAATGCATAATCAGGGAACAATTAAGTAATCGTTCTCAGCGTACCTTTCCAACAAAAGAATTCTCCAATGCATGCATAATTTAATAGCAAATGACACCCGGTACACACAGCTGTCAACAGTAAGTTGTTATTACCTCGAGAGCGTCTGTCCATAATGGGTCCTCCTTGGCTTCTGCGTAACCTCATAGTTCGTCGGCCAGTAGCCTTGTTGTTGCGCCCTACGATTCAGGGCACGTTGCTGGTAATCGACATTGTTGTTGCTGACCTGATCGTTGAAATTTGATTGTTGCTGCTGCTGCTGAGCGGTCACTGCAAATGACAACAGCACCACGACGAACACCACTGTTGAAACCTGCTGCATCCCGTTCTCTATTTTTGGATATAAAATCACAACTTAATTAGCAGCACGAGCTCAATTGTTCTCAATTTTAGACTGGAGAGGTTCGTTGAACAGAGAGGTCCGCAGTTCAACTACTGCGTTGGGAGATGAATCTGCGTCCATTTAAATGTAATTAATTTATTAAGATAAGGACAAGAAGAAGATGAGCTAAAATTACACGATGCTCTCAGATGGATGCTTGACAGATGATCATACGGAGTTTACGTATTTTGCTTGGTAGAATGTTGCAAAGGGATTTTCTTAAAGAAATGGAAAGAAAGGGGAGACCATCTCGGATGTGGTGGGCATATACTTGGTAAACCTGCTTATTCACCAAGCTAACCACCACCAGCAACAAAAAATTGTAGATACGATGTTGTCAGCAGTGGTCACTGCTTGTGGCACTAAGCAGAATTAGTGGAGGATACCTACTCTGCCTCCATCGAACTACGTTTCACGTTAAAGACAACTTGTGCACTTACTTTTGAGAGAGTTACTTCTTCGAGATGCGAGTTATCCAGTCAAGTACAAGGTTACGGTCGAATTGATCGATGCTCATCTCTCCCATACAGCCAGGCACGCACAGTCTCATGACATGTACGTTATTGGGTTGTGGGCTTATCAGCTAAATATTATTATGAGATTGGTCGGATTAACAGTTTATGGTGGACACTTTTTATTTGAGTGATGGAATCACTCACTTCTTTCTGGAGAATTATTACTCTAATCCTAAAATGACCACGGAATGATGAACTTGATTTTGTCCGAATGGATGAGCAATCCATTCAATCTGCTCCTAATTCATTTGAGAGATTCCAATCAGCTAAATTGCTCCACCATAAATATAAAACTTTGAATGCATAATGTGAACTAATTAACACTTATTCTCACTCTAATAAATGTCGGAATTAGTCAAATATTTATGCAACTTGCCCAGATTTGAGCTGTATTATATGATGCAGGCAAACCATGATCTTCACCTCCCATCTCCCTAAATAAAACACGTTCGGGAATCAAATAAATTAAATATGAATTAAATATGATTTTGTAATCTACACACTGATAAGACGGGGTTGCGTAGGATTGTTGACGGATAAGCATAGCAATAAATAAATTCAGTTGAACATAACCTTCTGAGCGTGCGCTCACCTCACTTTTTTCCATCCAACTTACGTCATTGCATTTTTAGTATGGGTGATAATTGGCTAAAAATTGAATTAGCAATAAATTCGACACATATTTACTCAATGAAACGAAATGAAAAATTCTAAGAAGAATTTCTGCATGTAATTATTATTTTTTACTTGTTCCGATTCGTTCATTATTTTCTAAGGATTATCAACTTTTGTGTGGGCATTTTACGATGGCGTGCAAAAGATGATCGAAGGAAATAAAAACGTTGCACTGCAACTTTGAGAATACATATTTAATCCAGATTTTGTTGTTTGTGCCGGTTGCAAACGATGATCCTAAGATTTGGGTCATGAATGCATGAGTTAGAAAAGTGGGCCTTGTCCTGTCATCCTCACATCGCTCTCTCTCTCTATCTCTGTTGAAATTTACAACTTTTCTCATCATCTGCAGAAATATGAGTCTTCACTGGAACACAAACTAGCCAAGTAAGGATGCAGCTAACTCAACTCCCGAATAAATGTAAAGTTGCAGAATATTCACATTATTCATGCATCCATACAGCCGTAAGTACATGTTTACCACATGGTTTTCATATTTATATAGATTTGGAGAAATGTGTGATGAAATTCATGTGCGGAATGATTGATGCACTCAATCAGCATCAATTTTGGTGGAATATGATAACGCTTCAATATCATCTCGTCTTTCATCTCCATTTCGGCCCTTGCTCCACGTGCTCCTGATTCTGAGCAAAATAAGGACTCGAAATGAAATTTCATGCTGATACCATCAGACACACCACTCACACTACACATTTTATTTATTGTGTATTAGATTATGTGACAAAATGTGAATGCATTTGCCCCGATATTGGCAAAAATGAGTGGTGAAAGTTTGACAGGTAATTCTACCAGGGCGGCCAATATGCATAATGTTATTGATATCTCTATTTTCATTTATTGCGGCTTCTGTCTGTGTGCAAATGTGAAGTCGTGCAAATGGCAAGAATTGGATTATGCAACCGTCATCATCATTTCCAACTTGAAATTCCACACGATCCACATGAAGGCAACTTGGACGAAGATTTCCACCACGAGAAAGACGAGGATGAGAATGTGCGCTCCTGGGAGGCACTGAAGGAGAGAAAGTCCCAGAATCAGCTCAGCCACGAGGATGCAGAATGCTCCAAACAGCCACGTTCCCACCGAGGACGAGTCTTTCTACGGGACAAAAAAATCCATTGTTCCATCAGCGGAAGGAGTAAGTAAAAGTTTACATGGACAGAAAGGGGTAAGTTGCATCTAAGTATATATTACTCCAACCTGTAGGATTGGTCGCTTCAACGCCTTCGCCATGTACAACAGCCCCCCTCTGATGGACACGAGCAGTGTGAGAATGAACATGTAGAACTCGGCTGTTGAACAATCAATTCAACAACATGGCATTAAAAAAAAGTAGGGAACGGTGGTGTGATGTGATACTTGTGCAAATATGTACTACTTATTTTTGCACGTACTGTCGTGAGCATGCATTCGCGAAACCAACTTCTCATGCAGGCTGTTGGTAGTTGTCGTTGTTGGCGTTGTTGCTGGAGAAGGATTCGCATTACTCGATGCATTACTGTTGGCCGGGCTCGAGGTAGGAGTGATTGGAAGTGAAGCTTCCTCCTCTGCACTGAAATCAGGGACCAGGCTGCCCGACAGAATGAGAAACGCCAGGACGCACAGGATTGTGAGAGACATGGCACAATATACCTGAGTAAATAATGACGTGGTTAGCAAATCCATGATGCCACGCCGTCACCTCGCCTCGCCTCCTACCCTGCGTTATATTGACTCACGTACAATCATTGTTTTGGACACGACGAGAGACAACTCTTGCCAAACTTTGAAAGTTGAGGTTGACGTGTTTGGTAGTTCGTCTCCTTCCGGGGCCCTCCACCCCATTCTCGATCCTGATGATGCGAGCGGAGGAGGAGGAGGCGGAGGTGAAGGAATAGTGTCCAAATTGCTGGTTGGAAGCTGGGCAGCCATGATGAAATTATGGAATGCAATGAAGTGCTCCTCTTTTAATCAATTGAAACGAAATGACTGTGATACTGACATGATTCAAATTTCTGTTAATGAATTCGCAAATAATGCACTTTCTCTCATTGTTATCATCATAAAATGTGAAGCCAATCAGTATTGTTTTGCCCAACTTTTTCAAAACACTACTTTATTGACTACTCATTCAACATTTAAAGAAAAAGTTGATGTGCAAATGGATACCACTTTCAAATCCCATTTACCCCAAATTACTGCTTGACAGGGGGGCAGGATGCAGACAGGACGAAGGGCAGCAGTTGGAAGCGCACGCTGCTGCAAGTGACCAGGATGACGTGCCAAACCGCCCCCAGAAAGAGGGCGATGAATGCCTTCATCACGTACCCCAGGCGATGATTCTCCTATTGTTTTTTATGGAATAATGATGTAATGAAACTGTGTAGCATTGCTGGTGGGTCAGACACTTGTTTGAACTTACCACGTACGAGAGTCCATACACGGACCGAATGGCTTTCAAGCAGTTGTAGGCAGCCAATGCAAGAGCCAGGCTCTCCCATGCCAAGCCAAACCATGCGGCTTAAAAAAATATGAAAAAGTGCTCAATTTAAGTTAATTAAAGCTACACTTAAAAAATATTTGTACATACACATCACTTGTGGCTCCAAGGTACGGAATGGCGTCCCCTCGTTAAGATGCCCCTTCAGATTGTGGTCCAGCGTGAGCAAATATCGAACAGCATTCATTCCATACGTGACAACCCCAATCACGACGAAACCAATACCGAACAAATTCATGAGAAAGACCAACTGAAAATGGGAACAAATTATGGAATTTCTCAGATTTTCCATTTTAAATAAAAATAATGCCACTTGCCACGCGAAAGACAATTCCTCTTTCCCGATCCTGATTCTTGCCCATGCCGACCTTGCCCATGGCCACCTTCACCACGGGAGGATAATCCCCTTCGTCCGAATCCCCAAAGTCCGTGATTAAGATGTCGATTTGCACAGGAGCCATGTTCCAATTTTTTTATGCACGCCTCGGACAAGTAAAGATGGCTGCGGGAAATGCGGCGTTATTAAAATGACGTCTGTGTGGAGTGGATTGCAATTAAGGAATGTTCTCGGGAGCCACAAACCCGGAATCGCAAAACAAAGAGTCATGTTTATATTAACAACGACCCATTAGGCATCAACATGCTAAAATCTGTTTTTATTCAGCCTTCTATTGAAATATTGGTATTGATGGTTAAAAAATATTTCAACACGTAACCTGAGAATTCAATGACCTGGATATTTAATGGCCTTAAGTTTGATGGGAAAGAAATACGTACCTCTCAAATCCTAGACAATTTTATGACAATTTTTATTTATAAATTTCTTCAATAGACGGAAAGAATCTTTTGTCAAAAATAAAATGAGTGACTCCCAAATAAAAAAAATATGCTATAAATTTGAAGATAGTGCGCATTAGTTACGATTTGAATCTCATTGTCAATTGTCAATTAAGACGCTACGTCTCCCACAGCTTGTCCCTCACCTCTGCAAAAAGGTGGTGAGTCATATTTTGTCCGGCTTGATAGCTGAGAACCTTCATCATGACGAACTCGTGGAGGTTGAATACGCCGAGATGATACGTCCCAAATACGACCGAGACTACAAACGTGGTCACCGCAACGCCAAATCTGGTGCGAGGAGGAATACCGACCTGCACAAACAAACTAATCTTTAGTGTGAAATTCTAAATTGGAAAAATAAGAGATGATCCGTATCAAAATGCCTCATGCAGAATTTAAGTGTATGCACACCTTTCTGAGAATGTATTCCACCACCCAAACTACCACCCCCGTTATGGAAGTCAGCACCCACGCCTCGACCGAAACCATGATGTAACTCACTGCACAAAATTAAGGAGAAATTCAGCCTTTCCACGTAAGCATAAAATTTTCTAGGATGATGCATGCATACTCTTTTTCAGAAAAACCAGGTCCACCTTCCCAGGACTCTGCTTCTCCAACTCGACTAGGGAAGAACTCCACGCATGAAAGTAGAGCGTGTACCAAACCACGTTTCCTGCGATGAGGGAAAGCGAGGCGATCGTCGTGAGGAGAGCAACCTGGAAATGTGAGACAAAAAGTGCACAGATATGTATGTAACCAGGGATTCAGGTAGGGGCACCTTGATACACACGATACGTTTCTACCTACCCCACGGAAACAACACTTTTTGCAGAAGTTCCGAGTCCCTAGTTCCGAGGACGACAGAAGTGAATGAGTCGAGCCCTTTGTCCAACAGTGGTGGGGTCGTCACCATGGTCCTCCGGCATCCTGAGGGCCGTGAACATAGTCACTCCACAAAGTTATACTTTATTTATTTGCCAAATTGAGGAACCGAATGCTTCTGTATCCTGTTCTAATCTGAAGGAGAGAGACAAGCCCTGTCGAAATTGAGATCTGTTACATGATTCTCGGAAAGAAGAAGCAGATCTGAAATTGCTCTGTTGTTTATTATTTATCAACCCGAGCAGAAGAAGTCCAAAGCACTAATGATACCAATAAGGTAGCAATTCACCAACTTCTCTATTTCATAAATTATTAGTTGCTTTTCATACTTTATGTCTGTGAGACAAAGAATTTGACTAGATCAATAAATCAATAGTGTAAAGGATCCATTCCGCTCGAAATAACCATGGCAATTTAGCAACGGAATTCATATGTGAAATTAAATTGTATTCACTCCTTCTCATTCATTTCGCCGAGATTTTATGGATTTGTGTAGCCTCGCATTTATTTATATCGCTCAAATGTGCCCAGCAGAAAAAAAGTTGGTATTCAAAACAAATAGGTTGTGTTCATGTTGAGGAAGGCAATTAAGAAAAGGATATTCATTTCCGAGATAAATCATGTCTTAATAATTCGATACAAAATATTATCCCTTTTTCTCTCGAACTCTTGGTCTTTCTTTGTGTTGAGATGAAAACTAAATTGGATCCATTTGATACATACGTTCGTATTCTAAATAATATTTACTGGAAGGTTTTAAATGGTTTTTGTAACTGCATGAGTCATGCGAAAGTACGGGATCAACGATTAGGCACGTTTTTACAACAACTGTTCATTCGTCAACTTGTGGATACAATAAATGTCAATTTTTATGAGTAAGAATGTCTTGGTCGTTATCTTGGCCTTGTGATTGGGATTCGATTTCTTTCTTATTTACGCAGGATATGAAGTGTATGTAAATCTTGCTTTTCCATGAAAGTTGGCTCTAAAATTTACAATGTTATTTATATTATTTCCTACTCTACTTTATTGTTGATTAATGCATTTGTAGATTTCTACTTTTCCTACTGCATTGCATTTAATATTAGTAATCTGGAAACTTTGGGGCTAAAATTTGCTATTTTATTGCATGAGAGAAACCCTTGTTCAGCGTTGATACAGTCCGAGCCATACATTTTCTTGTCTTTTCAACTGGGGAGAATGCAGAAATCAGGGAATGAAATCTACGCTTACTACAGCTTAATGCCAAATTTTAAGATTCTAATAATTTATAAAATTTGGTGGAGTCAATCGACCTTGCTGACCCGCTGGATCACAGATCTAGTGACACACTCCGAGTACTCAAGTCTCGGACAAAATATGAACTGCACTCCAATCTATGCATTTGGCATGCAGATCATGCCCGTGTTCAAAGTCATCCAAAGCATGTCACAAATATTCAAACAGACAGATAGATGAACGGATCTTACGCAATGACAGCAATGAACAAGGAAATTATGCAAAAGTTGCCTTTTTCTAAAATAACTCGTCGACTAGAATAATGCATAATTCAAGCAGAAATTAACCGAGGCGGAGAGAGAAAGTTAGTTCAAGATGGTAGTGACGTATGCATGCAGTCAAGGCCACTCTGTATTTAATCTATTATTATGTATTGCATAAAAAGTTCGGTCTTGTGAATTTAAATGGAAGAATAACCAATGCATCCCACACTCCAAGCCATGCAAATAAGCAGATAATTTATTTCGCGATTCAGAAGGAACAAGAAAATCGCATCCTGCGAGGATAAATTTATTTCGGTCGAACCAAGATTAACGTAAATTCTACAATGTATAAGAGAAAGTTGACCTTGATTTTTGTTTATAATTTCAAAATTTTGTATTATTTTTAGGAGAAAATGTGCTTGACACTCTCATCCGAGGATTGGAGCAGGGTGAAGATGTACCGGGCCAAGGCATACGCTCCAAATCCATACATTCCGCACACCGTAAAGAATCCGACCTGAAGGAAGAATTCAATACAAATCTGAGCCAATAAGCTGCCTGTCATTTGACTTACAGCTTTCCAGATTGCGTCCACTTTCCTCTCCTGACCTTCAGGAGGACCATCCTCCTCCTCGGACGAGATTTCAAGCAGCTCGAGTTTGCTGTGCTTTACAATTTTCTCCAAGTCGCGGGGGTTGAGGACGATGAAGTCCTTCTTCGACGCCATCATGTAATTCTTAACAGTCATGTCTGCTTAGCTGCTGGGGTCAAATTTTATGCGAGGAAAATATGCTTAAAGGTATGGACCGGATAGGACGATTTTCATTGACAAATTAAATCTGAGCATGTTGAGGAATGCAGAATAAGGAGAATTGCTTGCTTGTTTATTCCTTTTGCAAAGTGTGTAATAACAGGAAGCCTGAATTTCTAGGAATTAGAATCGACAACCTAACGCAGAGTATGCATTGGTTAATGCGAATATGAGGTTTAAATATTAAGTATTGCCAAATTTTGCAGTAATTCGTGAATTAAATAAAATTCGTGGCGCAATAATGTTCATATTGTTGTAAAAAAAACAATGATAATTGTTTTAGATTTTAATGGAGCATAATCCTTGAAGAATTGTAGCAATAAGTTTACTCTATTTTATCCTGTGAAATAATACCATATTACAAAATTTACTTATGCAAGGAATGCAAAAACATATGTATGTAAATAAAATGCATACAACTTTCAAACTAGTCAACTACAATACATGAATATGTAGCGTTTCCATTATTACGTTAGAGTTAGGCAAAGAAAAAAGCACTAGAAACTCCATCACGTACATAAGCTGGCAAGATATGTAGTCATAAATATAACAAAATGGCATATTTTCCTGGAATTATTTTATGATTGAGCATAAATTAACGGTTTGAGCTGTTAGTTAATTAAGTAGTCGGGCCAAGCAACAATTCTGCATCCTCATCGTACGAATAGTCATCCGTGTCGGTATAGTCGTCATCATAACTGGTGCCATCCGTGGTGCTTATCTCGCTTCCATCGTCGTCGTCGTCCGATGACGACTCGAGCATGTAGACTTCCGTGGTATGGTTATTATTATCCTGCGCGATGGTCACGGTCCTGTCGTAGTAGGTCGGCTCGAGGCCGAAAGCTAACTCTTGTGCGACCAGGATTCCATGCAGAGTGGCGTAGATTATCAGACCCGCGATCAGCCAGATGGAACTGTGTAGCATGAAGGCGAACTGGCCACCAGGCTCGACTCTCATCGCCTGAAAGAAAGACATGAATTTGCATGTAAAGAATATTGTAGTTAGTTTAGTGGGCACCAATTATTTAGCTCGAGTAAACTCACAACGACCGTCTTCGTATACGCCCATGGGATGAGGACTCTGATCATCATGAAGACAAAAATCAGCTCGACCGCAATAATGATCACATAGACTAGAGAAAAAATATAACAGAATAAAAAATCAATGATGATTACAGAGCTGGAGGAGAGACTACTACTTAAAAGAACACAATGTGACGAGGAAATTGGTTGGTCGGTGTCAATGGCATGTCAGATGACCCACCAGACCAACCACTACATGCTCGCCTATTGAGGCATCAAGTGTCAACAAGCATTGGCTTTGCTGCTCATGCCTTTATTGCATTATTTTTCTCCTTGCACTTAATTATGCAACCTGAGATGTTCACACTTGGCACCCTAATCACAATCCACCACCACGACCATTAACTCCAACCAAGCACAAAGAAGTCGTAAAACAAAATATGCATGACGCCATGCAAGCAAGCAAGGAAACGATAAGAGGTCAAAAGGGCAAAAATACTTAAATAAAACTTACCAACGAGTCGTTCCGTCCGTTTTTTCCAGGGCCTAGCGCTGTCGTCGTCATCGGAATATTCATCCGCCATCATCGCCCGCTCCAAGACATTGGTCCAACCCCGGAAAAAGACTACCAGGCCGAGGAGAGACAGCAAAACGCCCCCACCGCACATGGCTGCGGAGATCTGACATTTTGAAGAGAAATCAGCAGACTTGGCTTAATTTTATCACTCTCATCGATGGATGAACTTTGACTTACGAGTGATACGAGAAATCCGACCCGAGGAGGACGAGAAGGTCGGGTGTGGTTGAAGTCGTAGTCGTCGACCTCTATTGGACCTCCCTCTATTTCAATGTCCATCTGGACAAACTTGGCCGTGATGGATACTGCGTTCACTTGCATTTCTCTGCTGTCTGTGGTCTTATATCCTTTGGATTGCAATGTGTCAATTTAATTTAACAGCTCTCTCAGCAATCGAATCCGTTCAAACTCAGAGTTGGCACGAGTTTGGCGATGAAATGAGCCCGTGATGAGAATCTTTCACGCTTAAATAGATCATTATCTTTCATGGGTTACATGTCGTCAACAGAAAGACGATACCCATTTTAAGGACGCATAATAATAATTATATAAGCGTGCTCTCCACCATCCAGCCAACCAGTCATCCACTCGGATCAGATTAATTATTGGTTCTGTGAAATATTATTTTTGCAGCAGCAGCAGCAATAACACCAAGAATTGAGGTACATTGGATAAGTACGCTTCATTGCCTGCCAGATTTCATTATATTACTTCCAGTGTCTCATCTTGCTTACAATTTGCAGGGAAGCATTATGACACACCAACTATCATATGGACACATACGGTGGTCAAGTTCACGATTCATAGACGCGAATACGGCCGTGTGGACGATGGATCGACGTGGCGAATAATGATTTAGATGCATCATGTTATTGTTGATGTGTTGGCATTTCTTATTCGCAGGATGAGGCCCATGAATCCTGAAATGGAGGAGAACGAGATGGATGGCTGGGCAGGAGGAAAGATTGATGGAGAAAGAAATGATCTGAAGGATTTGTGCGGAATGCATCCGTGCTTGCTGAATAAGAAAAAGAGAAGAAGAAGATGGTGAAATGCTCATATTTTATGATCTCTCTCACAACTTGGTGATGTGAATCTCTATCGCATTAGCGGAATGAAAGCAGCAGCAGAAAAATGATTCGGTTGACCCACATAGGAAATTGTCATCCTTGGTTGTACGCTACTGTTACTTTTACACTACACGCAGCAAGCAGCCCTCCACCACACACATATGTATTAACGTTCCCAGCACAAAACATCTTCATCAACTTCGACATCAATGGCTCACCAAAATCGCTGTTATAATCCCAATGTTATTCATCTGATGTCCTCAATCGCATAGGCTCAACAGTTCCTCTTCTTGTTCGCTGTGTCGCCTTGTCACCCTTTTTGCCCACGTCCTTTGTCCCACAATTACGTCCTCCAGCTTATTATTTCTCAACTATCTAATACATAGATTATCTTAATTATCATGTATTTATTTACGGCGGATGAAGCTCATGAGACGGCCATGGCTTGACCTACATTCGTAAGATTTCAGTTCTAAAACTTATTTCTAGAAGCTCTAATTACCACAGTTTGATACTGAACTACAACAATATCATCACATACACAAGTGGGTTCAGCTTATCTTAACAACCTTGGTTTGATTGTATGCATTACATAATCGTAAAGCCAACTGTTCTTATCCTGACCGATAATAAGTAGTTGACACGAATAGATGTCGAGGCGGAATAAAGTCGTCGTCTTCGTCTGCCATCAACCTTTCCCTGTAAAATTTATGGGGGCACGAAGACTAAAAACTTTACACTTTGATGAGTTATAGGCATTCAAATAATAATGACCACTTATTGTCATTCCTTTCACTCGATGAGTAGCGAGCGGTGCGAGAAGTCACCAAACTCATAAACTCACAGGAAACCACACGATCGTAATAATTGACATCGTCAGAAAGAACCTTACTCACTGCCTCGAAAACATTGTGGCATGTTTTGATTTCCTGAAACTGATGGGAGATCTTTCTTCTTGTTAGTCAGTTTCTTAGGGCGCATTACTCATGGGCCCAGGACTCGACAAGGGAATGAAATAGTAAAATAAAATAAAGAGTTGGAAAGTATGACGACCCATTCGTTGGAGGTGAAAGTTCTCATCAGAGCCTTAATAATTGACCATTATTATGCTCCTGCCTCATTCGGGGAGACCAGAACAGAGACCCAAAACAAAAGGGGGCAAAGAAGAAGATGAAGAATAATCCTCTGCAACTTATCTCCATCGCAGCCTGAATTTCATTCCACATCTAAACCCAGCAAACTCTGTGAGTAACGTCGGTTATGAGGCTCATAAAATGGACTCGTTTCCATTTATGCTTTATGCAATTGCCGCTTACGTTGTGTACTCAAAACTCATATGTCTTACAAAGTACTTAATTTTCGGGGCTTTACTAGCCCCCAATTGGCTTCTAACTGTTTAAATTCCCCTCATTTGTTTTGATTTCGAGCATTTTCCAGATGGTTATCATTCTCAAATTCCAGATGCGCCTCTCCACCACGTTCTACATATTTCTACAGCTAGTTAATAGCTATACCCGGAAAATAATAATGATGATGGCGATGATAACAATAAGCACGATTTTAGGGTGCGGGTCAAATAAACACGTTGACGCGCCATCATTTCGTGTCAATACCGAGTAACATTTTTATTTTGTAAATAAATAAAGTGTGGATGGAGGAACGATTTTAGTGCACGAATTTAACTATTTTTGAGAAACAATTATGGGCCAGGAGTTTTATAACGGTATCATATTTCTGGACTTGTAGCCGCATTAATTTGCATATTCTCATGCACCGTCATTGATTTACTATTGTGCCGAAAGATAATACGTATGGCCAAAACTGCTTATGTGCTGTCTTATTTGCTATTGGTTAAAGGTTGTCGTAGCTTATCAACGTTTTTTTCTACTTCTTATAAAACTATGTTACATATTCTGTTAGGTCGGGTTGGGGTAGAGTCTAATTGTCGTCGCTAATATGACAATATGACACCATCATTTTTCATCAGTCAGTCATGATGTTACGATATGACATAAAAGTGCCTATAATGTGGACTCGCTAATTTCAAACGGCTCCAGTGTCTTTGGACGCATAAGCATTTGCACACGTAAGTAAGTAAGCATTCAGCGTGTTATTTGTCTCGGTTTCGGATTACCACAAACTAAATGAGCACGTAAGAAAACGTTCAGTATCGCAAGTCTGATGATTCACGTTTCTCCATAAGCAGGGCCGAGCTTAAATTGAGGACGTAGGTTGGCTGGTAATTTTCATGATAAATTCTGTATACTAACCTCAACGAGAAGCAGCAGGAATTACATTTTTTAGTACTAAATTAGTTGCAAAGCAAAAATGATCCGCCATGAATTAAAACAATTTTACTTAACATTTCTTTAAAATGTACAATTTCTCTAATCGCATCAATTTTCAGTTGCCTTGATTTGCCCATTCCAAGTTGGACTCTGCTACTGCTAATCTAAAGGCCAACGTGTTGCTGTTACATAAAGGATAGAAGCATAAAATAATAAAAATAGCACAAGTCAGCACTAGCTAAATACAAAGACACACACAAAGAGGCATGATTGCTGGAGAAGGCAGCTCATTAGTTATGTGCTTGGATCTGAATCACTTTTGTTGAGCAATTATGATTCAGCCGAGTTGCATATTCAGATTTTTCAATAATCTCCATTTCCAAGTAAGTACGTAACATGAGACTATTTTTGTATCTGGCATTCAGACCTAACTACCACTTTTTTATGCCTCAATCCAACTATTCATGTTGTGAGTAGATAGCTACAAGAGATAGAAAATATCAAAGCATTTTTTATTCTTCATGGACATTCTGAGACAATTATGATGCAATATTTTTAGCCCTGCCCGAAATAATCCTCAGAGAAATTAGTGTCCCCGCACATCTACAGGGGGCTGGCTTTCTCCCCCTGCCTTTCTCTCCAAAGGCGACTTCTCTCCAAAGTGAGATGCATGGCAGGAGAGAGAAAGCGAGAGAGACGTCACTTTTCCTGCACGTCTATCTAAATCTACTATCCCTGCGACGGAGATATACGTATAAATTGTGGAGGGAAGGAAGGCGACTGAGCTGGACAAAGTGGTTTTCCTTTTCCTCCAAGTTGTTGGACGGGGGACGACAGAAAATGAGAATAAATGTTCTGGATGGCATTGGACCGACAGCGTGAATGGGGTCAAGTCAACTCATCCCACCCAGCAACCCGACCCATTGAGGGTCACAGCAGTATCAGCAAAAGTGGAGAAAAACAGCTTGTAAACAACAATACCAAAGTTAAACTATCGGCGGAACTGGTTTCAAATAATGGAATGAAACGAAGGACGAAGAGTAAAAGTACATTTTCTCCTCGCTGTTCTGATTGTTTCTTTCATTGAGCATTCATTCGCTGCTTCGATTTAGTGTGAAAACGAAGACCAGACCAGACCACCGACGGACGAGTCATCTATTTAATTTTATTATGTGAAAGAATGAGGACATGATTTGGAAATTGTCGAGTTTTTTTTGTCAATTAAATTTCTTCTGCTTGGTTGAGACCGATTATTATTGACTGGTGGCTAGCAGCTAGCAGTTTGTGCATGAGTGAAATATTACTCCTCCGGCCATCGCGTTGGTTGTGCAAGAACTTTTCCCATCTGCTTTTAACAGCCTCCTCCTCCTCTGATGTATTCCTAGTCGATAGATTTGGATTTGCGGTCGAGATGTGGCATGAAGAGTGGTATCGAATTGCCAAAATTGACCAAGTGCTACCAGCTAAAATTCAGGTCAACCCATGCCGTTCTACTAATGCCATTTCCATGATCATTCATATTGCCTTCGAGCCATGGACAGCAGTCTAGCAACATTGCAGGACACACAACTTTTGCTGATAATGGCAATGGCTGCGATGCCCTCACATTGCAAAATACTTTTGGTCGCTCCAAACACAGCCTTGTCCACAAGTTCAAAGTCATTCGATTAAACGGAATCCAGAAGGAAGAGAGTTTTTCGGGGAAACCATGGACATGTTCGATGCCATGAAATATTTGGGATGCGTTTATCGTGGTGAACAAAGGGAACCAAGCTCTCGCAATATACGCATAGCTGTCACTACCTCTCCGGAGTTATATTCCTATAAGGGTTGCTCGTGGTTGGTTGGTTGCCGCAGGGTTGAAGGGTCCAAACATGGCATGGCATAACAGCAGTTGGTGGGGAATCATGGTTTTTGGCCCTTCCAAGAAATTCCTATGCAGCCTGTCTTCATGAGACGTATAATGTGTTTCTCATGAAGACATACATATTTTGAGCGAGAGCTGTTTGAGTTATCCATGGCTTCTTTTATTCTCCTCTTCCTCGTAGAAGCTGCTCGTAGTCTTCTTTGATTGCTCCCTTATTTCATCACACTTCTCTTTAAATCAAACATCCAGTTTTTTAAATCTCCACAGACTGAAAATTTATAAAAATGTCCCGATTTGGGTTTAATAATAGTAGTGGCAACTATTCTCGATTCGGTATTTCTTCCATTAAATGGAGCCCTTGTTGTAAACTAAATCTCACTTCGGGAGCTAAATTCATTGCAATTGCTCAAATGGTAACCATACTAATTTATGATAGACGTTTTTAGAGTGGAAATTCAAATTTTTTATATATTTTCACTTATTTAGGTAATGGCCTTCATGACTACGATGTCGGTTGGAATCGTACTAGTTCTAGTGCTTGCTCTGCAATATAACCAGACCACGGATGAAAGTCCGCTATACCAAATTCCGCACAAACACAGTTCGTCACAACAATCCATCTTTATTGGCAATCATTGACTGTGTAGTAAGTAAGTGGCATGACGAGTAAAAAAACTGATGTTCGTTTCTCTTGTTACAGTGACTCTCCTGGTCCTTCTTATGGTTGGGTTGTCCTTCTACACGTATTTGCACTACTACCTCTTCAGGGGGATTAAGGAGGCAAGCTACTTTTTTCTATCTGGCATAATAACCTGGCACACTTCTAGGTTTTCCATATTTTACATGTAAACAATGTTTAAAATTGGGGTAAAATCTGTTACAGAGGAACTTTGACAAGGTGGACCGTTGGTGGAAGATCATGGCAGCCTTAATCTTCGTCTTCTTCATCTTGTCCCTCTACACGATGAAAGTTTTCAACAAGACATCGATCGAATTTTCCGAGGTGTTCCTCTCCCTCTTTGACCTCTACTCCCTCTGGGTCATCCACGCTTATCGGAAGGAGCTCTCTGAAGGGGCCGACCACACCGTCGAGTTTGAACGAGTTCTTTAAGAACAAATATCCAAAAATAATGGGAACAAAACTGTTTTGTGACAGGAATTTGTATGACTGATAATTTAAGAGACTGAGCGACAATTTCTGGCTCTTTGGTGTATATTTACCCATTTTGTTGTTCCCGTAATCCGCAAAATTGATAAAAGTCGAGATGTAAATAAAAAAGGTGGGTGCAAAGGCTTAACCTTGATTTAAAATTCTTTGTGTGTGCATTCTCTAAAGTTTTCCTGGGAGGTTGGTTGTAGTAAATCCTGACAAAATGTCACGTTAGGGATTTCTCTCTCATTCCATGTTATCCTCATGCACCTAAGTTGTGTCTCCATCCACGGCCTAAGTTGGTTCTTACCTTTTTGACTCTCTGATGGAAAAGTTTTCTTGCTAGATAAGTGGCAAAAAGGTCGCAAATCGGGTGAACTCGTGGCCTTGACAGGATAACAGGCTCACACCACAACCTGCAATCGCTTGGGCTCGGACAACTAAGAGCAGTTAAGAATTGTTATGTAAGAGAAAATCGGATTAAGCAGCGTTCCCGCACCTTTGCTCTCGCGGAATAATATATTTTATATGAAATAATTCATCCTTGGACACGTCTCCTGACCCAATTTCCACTTAATTGTTCTAGCTTAAAGTACAAGGTAATGAGGCACTTGTCAAATTCTTAGATAATCATTTCCCAGAATGATTAAGCAATGTTCGACTTTAATTAGGAATCGATGTTGGCAGAAAGTGTAAACTAAGAACCATGTTAATGAGCACAAGTGGTCGTAGCGGTTTTGCCAGGAAAGAGAGAGAGAGAGAGAGAGAGAAAAGTACAGAGGAGAATCCTGCACACGGGAGTCATCAACCAGTTGCTGCTTCTGCTTCTACTGCCCGTACTTTCCAAAACCCGGATGGCAAATAACGTTTTCAGGAGTAACGTGGGTTTGGTTTGCGAGTGGTGCTTTCTCCAGTAAGGAAAATATCAGTAAAAGCCAAGCCCTGCTCTTCTCCTGGACTCACTTCGCTGCTGCTGCTACTCACTTGCACACAACCCACCAACTTTCTCCAACATTGCCACCACCACTACAACCAACCGTTTACTACTACTTTCATCAATTGCTAGCATATCACCCTTTTTCTCCCGTCATCTACTTGTTGGGGTGCAAGACATCTCTCAATCTGATTCACTTCTACTGATCAACTACTTACTTCACCTGAACGATACTTACCTACCTATCTGCATACTCCGTCTACCTCGGTGATCTTTCTGGACCAAGTGGGAAAAATGAGACTGTGGTGACAAGTAAGTCGAATCTGCAGAGTCACAACTACACCTGTACTTATTAAATTACTGAACAGATACTGCCGTTCCTGGTGTGTACCTGACCTTTCCGCACCCAAAGGATGCACCCTCTTGCCCTTGGAATAATTTATCCTTGGCTGCTGTGGCATGGGGACGACACTGATCAAATTTACGCTCCTTTAATGGTGCACTATACCAGTTAGACTATACAGCGAGATACACATTGTACATATTCTCGACTAGCTGGAAGCAGAGACTCAACAATGGAAGCTTTACTCACCACCCGAGATTTGCATGAGGACACGGAATTCTCCGCACGCCAGAACCATTTAGACGTGGAGACAGCACTTCCCACAGTCGACGACCATGCCAAAGGTACGTACGCTCAGTTTTGTCTCATTGTTCCCTCCCTTCGGCGCAACAAAGACTTTGCTTTCCACAAAGGCATTCCTCGCTGCCCATGATTTTACTCCTTTTTACAGGACCAATTTTGTGAAAGTTGTACCATGAAAAAGCCACAATTCTGCCTTCCCTAAAGATAATTTCTGAACTCTGTCATTTCACTTTTGTCATGATGTGTATGTACAAGGGAATAAAAAACTGCATGCATACTGCATGGTGGGCAAGATATGAAGAAAGCGACGTGGTTCAGTGGTTGTTTGTCCTTCTGTTGTCATCCCGCGTGCAGGCAGGCACTGATTTCGTTGAGGTTGTTGTTGTTGAACAGAAACAAGTTTATCTCGACTCCATTACAGATATTTTCTTTTCCTTCTTTTCTCTCCTTCGTTTACTTTGCAAGATTGTTGAGTTGTACTTGTTGTTCACCACCACCGCCGCAATATCAACATGCCTCGCAGGCCTCGACGCAATCAGAAAATAAGAGCTCATTCCGAGATCAACCACTCCGTACAACCAAATTTACAGTGTTTTACACAAAAGCTTATAGCCAGCGCTTTTCAAAAGAAATCTTTTTCTCCTTGTCCCAGCAGCCAAGCCGGCTTTTCCCTGCTTGGTGATAAATCAGAGAAAGTGCATGAGGAGATTATGCCTATCCGACTTTTTGTCTGTCATCTTGTATGAAGCTAGTCAGTCAGTCAGTCATTCAGTCAGGTGGTGTTGGACGACTCGGTGAACTAAATTCTTCAAAATATCGCCAAATTTCAATAGAATTCCATTCCAAGATATTTTATCTTACTGTACTTTACCGTTGAATTACGTGTCTTCTAGTTGAGCGCAGTAGTATGTACTTTTACATAGTGTGAATTCATGCCTGTACGGGATTTAATTTAGGTCTGCTGTATAGGTAATCCCTCAACCAAGCCGCTTTTCCAATCCTTCACCACCTTCACCACACACAGTGGGTGACGACATGGTCGCAACTTTCAATGACTTTCCCCACAATTTAGAACTTTACCTACTAATTCCGATCTGCTAAATCCCTTGAGACAGGAGAGAGAAACTCTAACCATGAAACTGGGCCAGAACAATGTGCCAAGTCTGAGTCCAAAAATCTCTGTTAATTTCTGAATTTTCAAAATCCTGAGAGGAAGAGAACTTCGGCCACTTCACGGCACCCACCCACTCACATCCTGCTGCTTTGTACTCAAATATTCATCATTAGACCAAGAGTTGAATAATGAACCGAAATTAAAATTATTTAAATCCTTCAAGTAATACGAGGGGTTCTTGGGTAATGAAATGTAAACAGAGACGACGACTACGTACATACTCAGATTCCTTTTGCACACGGAGTGAAAGGTGGGATTGGTCACATTGTTATCAACCCACTTTTTTTCACTACCATTTCCATGCAGTCCTCCATTATTAAATATTTATTGAGCAAACTGAGAAATTGACCGAGTTACATATCTCGCAGGACAAAAGGAGTTAGTGGAAGTGCTTTCATTCTGACATGTATGGCAGGCAAACGTTTATTGTCCTTGGTTATTTAGTTGTGTTTGTTGTATAAGCAACTTTTTTTCTTCTTTGTGTCGAGCCAGGTCTGACCAATAACTCGTGCATGCATAGTAATGAGATTATGCAATTCGCGATACATACATACATCGTTTAGTTGACAGAGTTATTACACTGCAATCTCAAGTTGAGAGAGTGACATGCAGCAAGCATCCAAACTTCTCCTTGGGTCCAGTTCTTTCTCAACTTTGTCAAATTCTTTACACACATTTTTGAACATTTCTCTTCTCTTGCTGGGCTTACAATTTTCTGAGAAGTTGTGCCCAACTTGTAAACTTGTGCTGGGAGCGTTTCCCTGAAAAAGATTTCTCGGCCAGAAATGTTGAGTAAGCTGGAGATGAAGGTGTTGTAAGAAAATCTCATCTTTGCCAGTGGAATAGGATCCACATTCTGGTTGGGCAACTCACCTAAAGAAGAGCGTATTGTACTTTCCGAGTACGTAATTTGGCTTGTAGGTTAGCTTATTTTATGTTAGGTCGATGTGGTGAAAGTGGGCTTCGAGAGTAAATTTGAAGAGCATAAATATTACAAAAGTGGGGGTTGTTGAATACCACCACGAGTTGGCCCTCCTGCAATCAATAATACGATACGACCTGCTCGAGTGCTTACTTGCTTGTGCAATCTCTTAATATTTAATCGCCAGTAGTTCAATAGGACACAGACGTGGGCTTTGAATTGATTGGGCAGCATAGCAGTGAGTGAATCGTGAGTCGTTTAACCGCACCGTTCCTTCCTCGTCTTCACGCACTTTACTTTTATTTGCCCACTGTGTGGGAGCAGAGGAACTTTGCTGTTTTCGCTAGTTTTTTACCCATCTACCTCCACAGACACTCAATCCAGACGATTCGCGAGTGGATATGATGACAACCATTTATGTGGGAAGCACCCGATTAATTGATTAAGCGAGCATACAAATAATTCAAAGTCTAGTCGTGGCTAGCTAAAATGTATTGACAGATAAAAATTGTGTTTTTCTCCCGTTGTTTTTCTCGAGAATTAAGTTGTAGAAAAAACTGGAATGAAAAACTACGACCGTACACAAATTAGACAGTGATTGATTCTGCATTTTAAATTTTCGAGTCTCCGTCTCCGAAATATATTCCGTCTTGGATTGCATTAAATTACAAAGTAGTTTGGAGCAAAGTACTACACGAACCAGGAGCGGAGTGTGTATACGAGAGGTCTCTCATTACTTATTTAGCGAGTCAATGTCACTTTGACTTGTTCTTTTTCATGTTGTGCGGATCCTCCTCCGTCACAAAAGCGAACGTCGAGAGGCAGAACTTTCCTGGGTGAAAATGCATCTCTTTCTCTCTCCGGGGGGTATCGGACCATTGTTTTCTTTTATTTCGCGTGTGTGGGAGCTTAGCAGGAAGAGAATGCGAAGATGAAGAGGAGGAAATGGTTGTAAAAGTGAGCTGTCGGATGGATACATGTGTAGGTTTGTAAGGAAGATGCTGCCATCATGTATATCCTGCCACTTGAGCACCCGTGTCGCCTTCCTTCCTCCTACCCACACATGCAGATGGATGCCATACTACCACGACTCACGGATGTTATTGAGACTCTAGTAGTCTATGCAAATTTGTCAGACATGTGCACTCCATGAGACAACTTGACGACGTTGTTGGCTTCTTCCTTCCGCGAGAAGAAGAAGAACGGGCGAAGAGTGTGTCGCAGAGATGTGAATATCATCGTAAACATCAAATGACTCTTACTTACCACCTGCATTACCCAAATTCTGCTCCTTCGCCATATACTCTGTTGCGTAAAGTTATTGCACAAAGGAGGATACATCGTAAAGCTTTCTGCTTCCCCATTCTCTCCGCTAAATGTCAGCTTCAGAATGCAACATGGGCTAAAACTGGGTCAAATTCATCACAAAATACTAATTATAGGGCGTGCACACGGGTCATTCAACTGGTAAATAACAATTGTGTAACGTACAAAAGATAATACAAGTAGATAGAAGACAGGGAGGCGCTAGTGGTGTAAAAACCCCCCATTTCTCGAGAACGAATTGATTTGATTGACTTGTTGTTCAAAGAAATGTCATCATCAGCCAAAAAACCAACCTGCGATGGTGACGACGATAATAATAATGATAATAACAATGTGAGAAGGTAGGTATCGCATCATCGTGCGTCTTTGCTGTGAGTAATTACTATGCAGATTAGCATCTGTTTTGTATAGGCGAACGACCTCTTCCGCCGTCGCCAAAATGCGGTGACATTTCGGGTCGGACGTCCATGTATCTATTTATCATCATAATCTGCATTCGTTTCAAATCCTAAATATAATCGGGGCCGCAGAAGGCAGAATGAGCGATCAGGTCGACCAGGCCAGGTCTTTCATATCAGTTGAGCGTGAATAATCTGAACAACACACTCATTTGGCCCGCTATTCGGTTCGGGCTCTGAAGCGTGAATTCTGGAGAAAGCAGGACTGATTTCAGAATTAGAGAACCCATGGACGGAAGTACTTACTAATTTAACCCCCTTTTGCATATTCCTCCTCCTCCATGTGCCACCGGAATAATGAGGATGTAGAGATAACCCTTCTCGCAAATATTTACGGAAGACGAACAATCCGCGACATAGTGTCTCGTCTGACTGGCTGGCTGGTGGGCACATAAACAAGACTTTGCGTGGAATAAGGGCATTTTTTGAGTGGCAGGATGTGTCCAGAGTGAGGGAAAAGTGATTGATTATTGACGATCAAGGTTTATCTACAAGCGTCTTATTTCAGGCTACTTTCTAGCCTTTAAATTCTAAGTAAAAACGAGAACCGGCCTTGACCTCATCTTACGACGCTCCATGTTTTTTTACAAGGGAGGAAAAAGGGGCGTCACGAAACGGGGAGAAAAAAACGTTTACAAAAAATCCATGTATACAAGTTGAGAGATGATGAGCGTCTATCGTGCAAGATCATTTGCCCACTTCACGCTCTCGGATCGTGTAATCTGATCGTGAGGAGAGAGGGAGAGAACGAACTGCTAGGTCATGCTTGTCAAATCTTGTTTTCCGCAGCTAAACTTTTTCTTCGATTTTCAAACGAGAGATGTAGCACAGGCCGCTGATAGTTGAAGACATCCTTTTGTCGTCGATGGCTTAAATCGCCGTTTCCTAACTTTTCCTTTAAGCGATATGCTGTTGCAAAAGTGACCTATTTATTGGCCTCCTCGTCGTCTTCTTGTGTGTAAGTTTTACATTAAGGAGAAGGATGTCGTGGGACTTTGGACTTCTTCGGGTTACATGAAATGCATGGATTACCAGGAAGCAGTGACTCGTCATCACCGTTCTCCCCGTTGTCCTGCTTTTTCCTTAAAATGACACGACTTTGCTTCCTTATGCCTCCAATTCTTTCTCGTCTTCCGCTATCATCAACCCCTCCTATTCCCA